ATAAGGTTAAATGATTAGCGCTAACTTGACGATTACCGTCACAATATATATATATATATATATATTAACAAATGTATCATCTTTTTAACCCACCAATCAACTAATCTTAAACCGTAATTTAGCAAACAAAATTTAGCAATTATATTATTTATTATCGATATTATTTATGTCGATTTCAGAGATCTTAGTTGTATTATAGTACTCTCCTACCGCCAAACTTCGGCGAACCTCTTTACAGCTCAGTTCGACACAAAAAGAGGAAATAAATCTTAGTTTTATTTTTTGAGACATTTCTTGGGTTATGTGATCTATACTCAGCTAGTTCCTCTCCCAAACAAATCTGTGAATTCCAACTCTTGCTATGTTTCCTTTCTAAATAAAAAATTTATCTAAAAATTTCATCCTTTCTCTCTGATTAGATATATTTGTGTTATGTCACGAAGCTATCAGGTTATTTTTCCTGGTAGTATTAAGTATAACTTAGTCATATTTTTTATATGATCATCTAGAAATTAAAATTAGTCGATTTTTTTTAAGAAGACTGAAAATATTCTCTTATAAGAAAATGATTAAAATTCACCTTATATTCAGCGAAAGTAGAATAAAGTGATAAAATTTTCCGAACTATCTTGTAGAGTTATATAACCAAATATCTATTAATAGCGTTGATAAATGTGATTCAAAGCTCTTTTAATTGCTTTAGTTTATTGATGAAGTTAAAACCAGTAAGTAAATTTAAATTTTACTTAAGATTATAAGATCAAAGTTTTAGAGTATATAAAAAGAAATAGTATATTGAAATTTATCTTAAATAAATACTATCTGATTAAAATAACTTGTTCCAAAATACAAAAATATCTAAAATTTAGATCTTCCCAAAAAAGTTATTAACGTTATATAGAAAGAAGTTTCAGGGATATTACAAACAACTGACTCTAAAATACCACTTAATGCCATCCTAGCCAAGAAATGTTATGATATCACCTACATTATGACTTTTGATCTCGTTCAAATGAATTTTATAAAGAATAGACTACACAGACACATTCGCAATTAAAGATGTTCCATTGACATCTAGAATAATATTGCTATAAATATTTATTATGTTGTATCGTCTCTAAAGCAATAGAATTATTATATTATTTCAAGATTAATTCAAACTAGTCGTCAATACACACGGCACGATTGACTTACGTACTAGAAAGGATAATGTAATTAGTCTTTGATAGGTTGATTATGGTAACCATAGTATAGTGATTCTTGTCATTGATTAATTTTACATATTTCATTCTTTTTATAGTTGTCAATCCACTGCATAATATGAATAAATAGTTTAGTTACAGTCAGTTATAGTCTATCAAAAGAGTTATAGTCCCATAAGTAAATTTGACATTCGTACTCGACAATGCGATTTTTTGCTGTGAAGTCACCGGTATTTTCTGCCGTCTATTTATGTGAGAATGGCGGATCTTAAGCGCATTCTGGAAATTCTATATTTAACATCAAATATTAATCTGCAAACGATGTACATCCGGAATACTTGTCAAGTTTGTTTTGCCCATTCGTGAAAATCAGCATATGACGTATGTACGGAAGATTCGTTTTACTTTGATTCTTCACATTCTTTTTCAATTTCAGAAGTTGTTCAAGTGTTCGCATATTTGAATTTCAATACACGTTTCAATCAAATCGTGTTGAACAAATTCAATTCGTCCTTCTGATATTAAGCTACTTATTTATCAAGCTTGTCTTTATCATATCGAGTATAATTTATTTCATTCGATGTGGATTATTTATCAATGAATAATTATGTAAAAATTTATACCTGTTAAATAATATTCAATATTTGAAAAGCTTTGTTGTAAAAAATGAAAAAATGCATAAACGAATCACTTACTTCCATAACCTGTATTATAACAGAACGAGTGTTGTAACTGCGTGCTGAAATAAATGTCAAAAAAAGATAATGTTTTATCTTTAGACTTTTCTTTTGGCGTAACGGACACTTTTGCAAGGTTTGGTTATACATACAACGTATGCACAGTAATATGGTTATTAGCTATGTTATTCTGTGTATAATAAAACCGTGCATAATTGTCTATACATCTTTCATTCCTTTCGTCATTAATTTTTTAAATTTGATTTTTCTTCTTGGATTATGTAAGCGACGATAATTTTGTTAATTTTTCATTGTTCCCAGGTGCGTTTTGTTATACATCCAACTGTACACACAATACAATTGCGAAATCAGAAACGCATTATTGTTTCAAATTTGTAGTACAAAGTGATTGTAATTTAATTTTATATTTATACTAGTATTGATTATATTAGTGCAAGAAACTCATGTTCTTATAAAGCCTGCTATTATCTTTCAATTTGAACATCAAGCTAATATTTCCTCAAAAATTGTATCAATTTAAAATTATAAATGGAGAATAACCATTTGATTGAATCCAAAACTCGTACAGTGCAAATAATTTCAGAATATTAAATAAGTAAATAATATATGATTTATCTTTTCATTTATAAGCTGTAATATTTGTTTAAATGAAACTTATATCGTTACTTTATTTGATTATTCTTCTATAAAATCACTACAAGATATCATAAATAACTCCTTGTTAAAATAACTCTTGTACCTTTCCTCGAGTCTAATATGAAATTACTTTTGAACGACAAATTTAAGAAATTTTCTTGTTCTATTAGTACGTAGAAAATTACCGTTATCGTTAGTTGATTATCTGATCTCGACAGATAATTTCCAAAAACACTTTTAGATATTAGATTTCAAAAAATTATACGATTATAGTCATCTTATCATTTTATGCTGAATTTTTGCTTTGTCTCCTCTTTCTAAACATAATCTCTGACGTAGACACTTTGTTTGGTATTACTTTGTTCAAGAAAAGTCTTTTTGACAATATATCTTTTGTTCAATTAAAACTAAATGGAAATAATTCATATTTGTATAATTTATAAAATATCAACACTATAAAAAATATTTCAACAACATTTTCATATAGCATTCAATCAATTTCTTCAAAGAAATTTATCTATCTGAATTACTCATCCAAAATATTCTTGCCACGCATTTTTGGAAAATTAATTGTTAACTATTAACGATTTATCACTGTATGAAATCTGATAGTCGGCATTATTTCAGAAGCTCATTGAAGTTATTGAGAAGTATATGAAGTATTTTATTTTCATAGAATAATTTATTTTGACGGTTATAAAATTAAAGTGTAATTAAAAGAAAGACCGCGGAGCTATATTTGACCCCAACCAAACTTGAAGAAAAAAGGAAAAAAAAAGAAAAATATTGATTTAAGTTATTGCTATTGAACATTTATTGAGAAGATATCATAGTAAATTTACACCTCGGAGAAACTATTTGTACTCCAATAATGTACACTTTACATAAAATATCGTAGTAATTTACTTTATATTCTTTAAATTTTAGCTTAGGGCGGATGACTCTTATTACTTTCAAAAACTTAATTTGGAGTAAGAATACCAAATTTCGTATCATTAATTTTCGCAAAATATTCACTTGTGTCAATTATTAAAATCATCCTCTCTAAAAATCATTCTAAAGAGTAATATGTCGTAATACACAATAAAAACTCAAAATTAATGAGTAATGACATGAAGAACATACATCGTCTAAGTTTTATTCAGAGGATATATTCAATAAGTCGTCAATGTTCTAAAGATTTGTAAGTTGATATTGCATGGACGATAAAATGCTTTTATTCCGTAAAATTAAATAGAACTATAAATGTTATTTTTCGGATTTGGTGGGGCTTATTAACTAGCATACAGTAGAAAGCGAGAAACCATTTATAAACTTTAATTTAACTATTTGAAATAACAAAAATTAATGAAATTTGTGATAATGGGTTCAAATAAAATTACTTTCTTTATTGAAATGACTATATAGATGTTATATTTTGAAGAGATATCAGTATGTTGTTGAAACAGCATAGTAAACTTCAGAATTCATTACCGAAGTTCATGAGTAGTGGGAGCAATACATGAACACTGTAAGCGATGGTAAAATGTTGGAAAAATGACGTTAACCCTTCATAGGGGATATTAAAATACTATAACAAAATAAAATGACTAAAGAATTATGGAAAACAAAGTCAATATTCTTTTTATTAGTCGTTTAAATATTTTAGTGGTAATAATACATTTAATATCAGGATGTAGAAGTTCAAATCTGAAAATATTTATGGAATTTGTACAATATTTTGAGTCTTCACAATAAATTTTTACTCTAATTATTGGGATTTTATTGTATAGATACCAACGTAGCCGAATTTCGAACGCTTATATGAATGTTGTATTAAAATAACATGGTAGATCTAAAGATTTTTCAGTATTGACTCGAAGCTTACTAGTTTATCATCTTTGTAAGTCAATTAAATGTATTCCTACCATGCAATCACATTCATATAACGATGATCAAAAATACAATCATAGATGTGAAGAAAGAATAGATCGTAGCAATAAAAAAACTATATAACTTTGAATAGCCGTCTTCTACGTGACTGGGCCTTAATACGACTTCGTACCGTTTTTGGCAAGATGCTTCGTGACATGTGAACGTGTGTGTGCGTGTCGTTTGTCTTTTTTTACGCGTATACGGAATTCGCCGCCCGAAAATATCATTGTGAGACTCTCGAATGCCCAACACTTTTTCCCTACCTCGCAAGTTCAATAAAGTGGAGAGCTCTAGGCTATGACTTTTTACTATACGACAGCGCTTTTATGTGGAGGGAAGCGCGAGACTTTTTATGATTTCGCCGTGCGTGCAAAACGTTTACAGGACGCGTCAAGTAGCGAGAAAAGAAACTGTTGTCATTGCGACTACATTTTTAAAATTCTATAATGACGTCGGGATGCGTTATTTTGAATAAAATGGTAAAATCGGATTAGAGAAACAGTGAAAGTTACATAGACTAAAGTCAGGTTATCCATTTGCTATGTTTCAGACGGCGACGAAAGTTGAAACCCATTCGTGCAGACACGCCTTGAAGCAAGCGAACCGGGAGAAGAATCAAAACCAAAAATGTATTCCGTGTAAGTATGAAACGCCTTTGCGCGGAAAATTATTGCCTCACTGACGCGAAAACTGTTTTCAAAAGTACTCCCCATTATAACATGCTTGTTTGTGGAAAAAGCTACCTTTCTCTTTTTAGCACGAGATTTACGTAGCTTACAGTTCGTTTGTGTACAATTTAGTAGAAATAATTTTCTTAAATGTCATTCCTTCAATAAATGTTTTAAAATTTTTTCAAACATTTTTCTTAATTTAAGAAAACATATTGCGTAATTCGTATGATTTAAAAAATCAAATTTTGTATTTTAAGAAAAATTTTCTTGACTGAAAAGATTTGTTGAAGAAGTGTAACAATACTAGAACATTTACGCGTTGTAAATTATTTTTTATAAAGAAAGCTATCTTAAAGTTCTTTCTGTAATTTACAATGGTATCTGCGATAATAATTGTAAAATACTTGATAAAGAAAAAAATAGATGATATTTTTGTCGAACCGGCAGACACGTTTCTAATATGCGATATTAAACCTTGTTTTCTGCAAAATAAAAACGTATATGAATATAATAGTACGATAAAGTTAGGCATTGAAAGAAATCGCGAAAATTTTTAGGAACGGTTGTGCGAACGGATACACACTTGCATTCCGGCTTATGCGTAAAAGGGACGTCTAAACGGCACGCCATAAAGCGTGGATAAGGCCTCGTAAGTCCGGTGAATATTTCATGGTATCTCGCGTACCATTTTCCGACCTTCTTTCTCTCTAACTCTGTTCTACTCCGCGAGCCATATGCGGTGTATTATATTTCATGCAAAAAAATAAATGCGATTTGATAAATCTTTTTAATTAAAAATTATTCACTGCGGCTCGTTGTTTTTTTCTCATTTACAAGCGAATGTTTCGTTGATCATCAAAAAAGACATTTTCGGCTCTAGCTCTATTTTCTAAACCTTGTATTTTGATTGAACGAAATAGACAAAGTGAGAGACGCATAATCGAATGAAAAAATTACATACAACGATATTTTTTAATAAAAATAATAAAATTAGCTATTTACAACATCGTCAAAATCAAAGTCTTTTGAACGAGCATGATTCCTATAAACCTTGACAGTGACCAATACGTTGTAACCGAGGTGTAATTAGAGTAGGATATAGCATAAGCTTATGGGAGTAACAGGTAGTCAATGGCGAGCATAACCCACGAAATTCGGGCGTTATTGCCATTCGCACAATAATTGAGACGCCGCGTTATGTTAATTAAAGCTTTTTCAAAGTTTTGTGTCCAATAAACTACTGTTTAACATTTCTTCTATGTATCCGTTTCGCATATGCATGAACAAATTAAAGCGACCGTAACAATCCTTGACTTTTCTTGACTTTTTCAGTCGTATTTTAACGTTACCTTATTTGTCACTTCCAGACGATTATAACAGAGTAGTTTTGGAGACGATAGATGGACGAACAGACTCGGATTACGTAAACGCCTCATATGTCGATGTGAGTATAATATATTAAGCTCAATGACAATCGAAATGCATTTGTATTCAGGACTAACGTCGAGTATCATTTATAAACGTTGCAGAGCTTATTAAAGCCCAATGCCTACATCGTAACTCAGGGACCTATGGAGAGTACAGTTGTCGAATTCTGGAGGATGGTGTGGCAGGAAAAAGCCGCCTGTATAGTCATGCTTACGAAAACTTTCGATTTCATTAAGGTGAACTTTTACATTACAAGATTGATATTAGCAAAGTAGATGTCTCTCCTTTCACATTTGTCTTCAGCTATAGGCAGTCAAATCATTAGCGTAATGAATTTCATCTCTTTCAACTATAAAAAAACAATGCACCTATTAAGCTTCACGGTAAAATATATATTTAATAAAAATCTTTGATTGGTTAAAAAAATGCCACTGAGCGAGGTTCATATCACTCGTTCGACTGGAAACAACTTATCCCTTGAGTGCCGAGATATAAAACAGGAAAAAAGAAAGGAAAATACAAGGCAGCGAGCGACGGGAAACTTAAAGTGAGAGAGAGAGAGAGGAAGGGAGGGAGGGAGAGAGTATATACACACGTGTCTGTCCTACATAAGTCATTTACAGAGGGAACTCTGCGAACTAGTTACTTAGGCTACCGTTATGACAGCAAGACGGCGTGGCGCGAGTTTATGAAGTTATATACGGTACAAAACTTTTGGACGTGACATCTATACTTGTTTTTCTTATTATCGTGTTCGGGACACACGTTATTTTTTAATATTGGCGGATTTTTGCCGAAAACTTTTCGTCTCTTTTGTTTTTTTTTCTCGGCAACGTTCTTGGAAAACATGAAAAATAAGATGTCAATGTGTGATATGGTGTTATAATAGTCGTCCCAACTTTTCAATGCACTTGTATAATACTATGAAATAAAACACAATATCTCGGTAACGCATGTTAAAACTGCACATTTCAATGAATGAATAATTGATTATTCATCATTCTTCAGTTAACATGAACGCGCGGTAAATTTAGCTTAAAGTGCAAAGATTTACGCGGAAATCGTTTATGACGCTCAGAATTGTCGTTGCGTGAAATACATATTTCCTGAGTTATGTTCACCGATCGTTATCTTTTCATTATTGGCTGACCGTGCTATCAGTTTGTTTCATATGTATTGAAATAGAATCCTACGAAATTGACACCAACCCAATATGCATATTCAATAAATATACGTGATGTTACTTAGCAAATAAATTGCAATTAGTATTGAAATTATCTTATTGCCGATTATTGTTCAGATGCTATATTATCGTATCTTTCTTATATTAACTATCAAAGTAAATAAATCTTGTCTTAAAAAGTAAATACAAGGAGTACTCTCGAAAGCTCAATAATGTTACCGAAAGTTTTTTCGCGATTATCGATTTTCAATAACTCAGAACTCTTCGCGAAGAACTTTACAAACCCCGGGCGACTTTTGGCTTGGTCCGTAGAAAAAAAAAGCAAGAACAAAAAAAAAGAAAAAGGAAGGATAAAAGTTCTCAGGCGTAACCGCTTTTACGATACACGAAATTGTTCAACTCAAAAGCAGCGTATTTCGCCCTTGGAGAAATATAATTATTTTTCACTCTTTGAGATTCCGATAAAATAGTGTACACGAGAATTGAGAAGGCAAGAGATTTTTTCCCGTCGCAAAAGTCCGCCGAGCGCGCGAGTATAAAATACGAGCGAGAAAAGCGACACTGAAATGACAATCCGCCGTGGAAATTTGTATTATCGGCATTCTTTATGACTATTAGATTTATTGAAGTCATACAACTTTACTCGTATTGACAAGATTTTTATATGTATTACTGTTTTACTATATGAAAATTTATTGCAACGATGTGCAATTGTCAATATAAAACAAATAATTGATAATTAGTGAGTTATTTATATTTATATATAATTTATATTATAAATATTGAAATAAAGTAATATGTTATTAGAAGAAAGAGCATTATCATCTAAAATTAATTAAAACTTGAAGCTTCCCAAAATGTCAATGTGATCAATGTGAAGCCTTAAAACTTAAGTAAGAATAAAACTAAGTAAGAATTAAAGAGTTTCAGCTTTCGAGATCGTCGACGTGAGTATAAAATGTAATAACAAAGTAGGTCGTAAAAAGAGCTCTCGATTAGCATGACTTTAGAACTCTTCAGTGAGTGGCTATACTAAAAACTAATCCTTCAAGTCGGCGGATAAGTAGATTGGGTCAGAGATTGGTCAGGCAACTTACATGTTACCTTCCCCTCAACTTAAAAATTAGATAGTAATAAAGAAACTTTAATAAAATTTTGTCTGTTCCCGTATAATCCTCTCTCCATAACTTCTACTCTATCAAAGTTCCTTCGTATATTACTCGCAAGTTTTCCAAATTCCAAGAAGTTAAAGCCATTTTAATCGAATTGGCCACTTTTGAACATTAGTAATATTAAAATTAAGTAAATGCAAAGTAAAAATTCTAGTGATCTTACACAGAATAGTACTTTAATAATGAAAAGGCTGTTAAGTTTAACGATCCATCGACAGCTTTCTTTTTTTATTTTTTATTTATTTTGTTTCAAAAAACTTATTTTCAATGAAAACATAAACGTCATAACTATATTTTTGTCAAGCAAAGTGCTGTCAAATTGTAAATGCAGTTTATTAAAAAGTAAACAAACAAGTCGAGCTTGTTTACTCATAATGAAATGTTAGTTTCATAAAGGCGACTCAAAGAGAAATAGCCAATGTCTCAAAGCAAGAGCACATAACGGCATTGCGCATAAGCCACAGTGGTGCCGCACAGAGGAATTGAGACGAGAGGCAATTGCAACTCTCTCGGCTAATCATGAGGGGTTGGCACATGTTTTATTGCCAGAGTAATTCTCGTACTCGAGATTGCATTTCAAAATTACAACTACGCGCGAGTTAAGTTTATTGCTAGGTGCGCAAACGTATATTCGCCCACAACTAGCGTTTGGCTTCCCCCGGTAGCCCGTACCTTAGAGGCTTGCTGCAACTGCTTCTATGAGGGCGGAGTAAGATGAAGAGACTTGAAGCCTTTCGCTACTACGCGAGCTACACGCGCGGAAATTTAAGTGGCTTGCCAAACACGAGAGATGCTATTAAACCAGTGTCACAGAGTGGAATTTTCTTATTTCGTTTGCTATATGATCCTGTTACGTTGCCGCTTGTAATTCAGACGACAGATATTTTTTTACGTTTCGCATACCAACTAAATTATTAGTTTTCTTTCATTTTTATACGAGGTGAGAATGAACGCTTGTCCGTCCGCACGGTAAACAGACACAAATCTTTCGTCGAAGCTAGCATTCTAAGAATTACAACTTTGTGCATGCCTCGTAAAATAAAAATATCACGAACTCAAGTATTTGTCAATCTCAAACTATTGTATCGTTTTCCGCATTCGAAGAGAACATTTTCGCAAAATGTGACGACTCCCACGGATGAGATATATATATATATATATAGATATATATGTGTGTGTGCCGACGATGCTCGCACAGGTGGCCTCGCTTCGAAATTAATTATTTATCCGAAACGCGCGTACACGGGTAGAAAAAGCGTTCAGGAGAACACGTTTATTTAGGATTTGCGATACGATTGCGTACATGTAAATTACATGCAAACTGGAAGAAAAGAGAACCTTTTTTTAGGAAAATCAGTGTAGATGTTATACGAGTCGTTAAGTTGATTCACAACATTGTTGATATTCTCGAAATGAATAATTTTTAAATCTACATTGCCAAATAAAAATGAACATTGGTGACAGATCATTGACCAATGTCTTATAATTTTGTCTGCAGAACCATTCTAACGAGCATATTTAAAATTTTCAGGTTGAGTGCATGCAATACTGGCCACCCAACTTTGAGAAAATCGAAGTATACGGCGACATTCACGTTGCGGTGCTGAAAGAAGAAGAGCTCGCCAACTTTCATATACGCGACATAAAGCTGTACAAAATGGACGAAAATAACGTGAGTATACACAATGACAGTAGCCACAACAGCCCGCGTGTCAACTTTAACGAGAGATCGTTTGATTTAAACTTGCGCAGCGTTAGGCTAGGCTGAATAATTCGCTTAACCAACTCGTACGTTTTCTCTCGACGGTTATTGCTCGCGAGTCGAGCACTGAAGTTTTCCTTTGCCGGTAAATTACTAACAACTTGGCCTGCCTCAAGAGTTTATCAAGGGCACAGTGTAGTTACTATAACTTTGAGTTATGAACTGCGAAAACCGTTTTAGAATACTTTATTACTTTTATCTACACAACCGTTATTCAACAACGTTACTTCCTACCAATGTCCGTCATAGCTCATGCATGCTTATTATGTATAGTTATTATTATTACTATCATTGTTTGTTGTTGTTGTTATTGTTATTAATCTATCTATACATCCGAATGAATAAACTGCAGCAGGACGCATCCAATCAAATAATCCCATGGGAATGTGAATTCGGTGCATTGAAGTAACTATTTGATTTGATTTGCAGCAAGTGACGGAAGAGCGAACGATAATTCAGTTTCACTATACAGAATGGCACTCGCACACGAATCCTTTCGGCAATGCTGTTCTGGAATTCAGAAGACGTGTCCGCGCGGTCGTCGGCTCGACTCTCAAGGACGAAACGGGTCCAATGGTCGTGCATTGCAAGTGAGTTTAACTTCCAATAACGTTTACTTCGTTTGTCTTGATTATCGAAATATTACTTTTATCATCGAGAAATATATTATTTAATTATAATTATTTTAGAACTGAATTATTATATAATTACAAAATACTGGTATTGTTAAATTTTTTGCAAGAGAAATAATTAGCAAATAGCAGTTAGGCATTGAACTCGTCTTTCGTTTCCAAATCTATATTTGAAATGTTTCTATCCTTCCAGTGATGGCGGTGGTCGATCTGGTGTTTTTCTAGCAATCGATGCAAATATGGAACTTGCGGAAGAAGAGGATGCATTCGATGTATACGGATATCTCAAAAAACTTCGTCAAAGTAGAAAAGGTTTAATTGAAAATGTGGTAAGTATATTTCTTTTAAAAATTATTACCACTATGCTTTTTCGATGATTTAAGAATAAAAAAATTTTTATTTATACGATTATTACGTAACCTGCAAATTTCTCGAATTCGTGTTATTTTGTAAGCTTAGTAATTGGGAAGTAATCCATAATAATTTGGCATATTTCTTGTTTATAAAAATTAAAAGCTTAATTTTAATAATTGTAGCTGCCCTGTGGAGTAATTTTTACAAGATTCTACCCAAAAAATTTTCATAAATATACATTTATAACATGCAAGAAAGAAAAAATACACAACATTAATTCATTATTCACGAAATTTAGGAACAGTACAAATTTGTGTACGATACGTTAGAGGAGTTTGTAATATGCGGACCATCATATTTCCCGGTGTCAGAGTTGTCTCAGCGTTTGAAGCAAAAAAGTCAGAAGAACTCCGGAACAAAGATGAACGAATATCAACGTGAATACCAACAGATTTGCAAGCAGACGCCGCGTTTCACTATCGGTGACTGCGCAGGTGGTCATCGTGCAGACAATCGCGACAAGAACAGGGATGTTCTGGTTGTGCCACGTAAGTTATTTCCTCTTTTTTCACAAAATGTACTCGATTTATGTGTTACAATAAATAACCGAGAGCCGAGTCAGCTATGAAATTTACGGTTTTTCATATAAGCTTTTAAGTGATTGCTTTCGAGAAATCCTTGTTATTTACTGTAAACTAATGTAATTTTGTCTAGCTGATAATTTTCGGCCTTACTTAACGAGTTTCCAAGGCAACACCTTTACTGACTACATCAATGCAGTTTTTGTAGACGTAAGTTTTCTTTTATTATGCCATAGCTGTATTTTGTAATCACAAATACTTACCAAGAAATACTGTTAGTAAATTTTTAATAATACCAGTCAATGACTTTTGTGCTAATTTAAGCATCCACATACATATTAGCGTTCATTCATGAAAAGATAACGTTTAATGTATTCATAAAAAATAAGTCCACTAGTTTCATTCTTGTTGAAACTAATGATTTGTCTACATAGACTTCAAGATAATTTCGCTTTAACTTTCAACATTAAATAATTTATTTCCAATGTTTTTAATAAAAAATCAATTATATTATCGGTTAGATAAATTTTTTCTAAGTTTTTTTCAAATTAAATACGTTTTCTTCCCGGTGTGCAATAAAATATAATCCAATTTTGGGGGCTAGAATAAAACTATTTTAAAGTTTATATGCGTAAATAACAATGTGCTCAATTCTGATATTATAAATACAATGAAAATCTATCGAACATATTTCATTTTTGACTTAAAATTAAAATGTTTGCTTTAAATATTAGGAAAGTAAAGATAATAAATTACGGTCTATATTTTACCATGTCATTAGTTTTTTCAATTAATAAAATGATATTGACGTGACAAATTCGTTGATCAAAAGTGACATCCTTCCCAATGTTATATAAATATATAAAATAAAGATAGCTAGTATTGAGCAATATTTTTCCCCATGCAAAATATACAATGCAAAGTCTTACCATGAGAAACATGAATGCGCGTTCTTTTTAAAAAACGATTTTCTCGATTTAGTAAGGATTTCTATGTAAATTATTATTTTATTAAAATTATTAATTACAATCAAAATAGTCTCGTAATCTAATCAATCATTTAAATAATTAAAAAATTGTTTCGAACAAGTTCATTGTGTAAACTAAATACCGTTTGAATAGAAGAAGTAATACACCAATTTATATTGCAGGGTTACACGAAACCGAAAGAATACATCGTGACGGAATGGCCAGTGCAGAAGTGTCTTGGCGAGTTTTGGTCGTTGGTCTATGATTACGAGTGTTCAGCCGTGGTGGTACTATGCGTTCCACCGACTGGCTCTGCCAACTACCCGAGCTTCTGGCCCGACAGCCGACATACCAAGAAGTACGGTCCTGTGTTTACGATAGACCACATCAGCCACAATCACTATACAAATATCAAAACTTGGGTAAATTATTATTCTATTTCTGAACAAACGACAAAATTATTGAATCTTCACTTGTGTACTTTTAATCTTTGAATATATTTTTGAAGTAAATATAAGTATATTCAATTTATACAATTTTAACACGCCTATGATCGTGTCAGAGCATTTGTTCACAATTAACAATAGTTATTGTACACATTTTTCGAAATAATGTTGATTCGCATAAAAATATTGGTTATTGTTGAACAACGTTAACCTTTATTGAAATCCAAATTATATCTTATGGAATATAACAGAACATAAGGAGTGAACTTTGAAATTTAATTACATTATTGAAATTTTCCTCTCGACTATCGATATTCAATAGTTTGGAACATTTCGTAAAGAACTTTTTAAAACCTTAGCGGTATTTGAACCATCTAATAAGGTTCAATAGTAAAATAAAAGCTACATCGATATAATTAAAATTTGATGGATGTATGCACAAATTGAAACAACTTTTAAAAAGTGCAGTGTCAACAGTTGTGTTATGTAATGAATGTAAAAAAGTGAAAGCTCCTAATATTCAAATAAAATAAGATGTGTGTTCGATTCTAATTTTACCGTTCTCAGGTCTTCCGAATAAACAAGAAAATCGTCTCGCTGACAGAACTCATGGCTGGCGTAAAAGCTCCTCCAAAAACAGTGCAGCTATTTCAACTGACGTGTTGGCCAATGGGTCAAATAGTGCCGACCTCTACCAATAGCCTTGTGGAATTAATGAACATGGTCGAGCGCTGGCGGCAACGCACTGATTATGGTCCCGTGTGCGTCGTCTCGCCGGATGGCCGTAGCCGTTGTGGTGTTTACTGCGCCGCTAATGCCTGCATCGAGCAGGTCATTCAGCACGGTGAGGTCGACGTCTTTCAGGCTGTGAAGACTGCTCGGCGTCATCGACCACAGCTTATTGAAAATATGGTTAGTTTTTACTAATGTTAAAAAAAATAAAAGAAATCGCTACTTCCGTAGAGTAAAGTCATTACTCAAAGTGTAAATTTACCTAATAAATAAAGAGTTTTAGTCTTTATTAATGTTTTTTATAACTTGAAAATTTATGAATGAATGTCAACGATGCTGATTATCAAATTGTTAGTATTTCTTTTTTTTTTTAATACTTGTTATATCGATAAATTGACGAGAAAATTTATTTATTTAATTATAAGAATTTACTTAGCAAGCAGTCCTTGGATACGTTATGCGTTCACTAAGGCGAAATTTACATGTAATTGCTTCATACATTATTCATCCAGGACACAGCTAACTCTTGCTTGTTACACTAGCAAAGCTGTTGCTGTATTTATAAAATTTTGAGTTAATTAATTAGTCATTTGTCAAGAATGATTAGTATACTATTTTAAGCAATACAATATTTACAATAAATATATGTTTGTGGCCGTAGCTGTATTATTTTATATGAAATTCGATTGTAAGATTTAGATGAAAACAATTATTTCTTTATAATTTGTGAAACGAAATATGTAAAGTTACAAAGATATGAATTATCAATTGTATTCTAGAGTAATAAAATAATACGTTGGTTTTTCAGACGGAATACAAGTACTGTTACGACTTGGTATTGCACTACGTGTTGCACTATCTAAACAAGGATATGAACGAGAAGAAGTGAGAAAGCGAGTTGCGGGACGAGCTGTGGTTCATAGAATTTGGCCGTGGGGCGGCACTGCCCCTGACTCCAGAGGAGGCCCCGGTCGATGGAGAGCCGGTGGTGCCTTGCGCCCAGGGCCGTGTCGTCGTCGAGACGGTGCGCTCAGCGCCGCCTTGCTTCGCCACCTGCTCAACATACCGTCGCCACCCTCCGCCGTTGGTCAGCCAAGCCAGCACCGTGCCACCAGTTCCACCCCATCCACCTCCCCGCGACCCCACCACCTCACCGCCCTCCCTACCTAACTCGTTCGTCGATCAGCATCAGCAGTCCAGCAGCCTCCAGAGCCCAGCTCCCCGTCCCGAAGATCTACGTTTCACCCGGGCTCTCTGGCCTTCGGAAATGCTACCCGACAACAGCCCCGGCACCGCGACTGACCAGCACTACCAGCTGCCCAGCTCCTCTCGCACCAGCAGCATCGAGAGCGAGTACCATCCCCACCAGCAGAACGCTCACGGTCAGAGCAGACCGGCCCGGAAAGCCTGCATGGACCTAGTCGACGCGATGGCTCTGCTCGATGAGACTTGTCCCAATGTCATCAAAAGCCCCACGCTCACTCCTCACACTCCGCTCATGCCTCATCCCAGGACTAAGCGCGCCCGATCCAAAAGCAGCGATAACTCGAGCAACTACAGCAGCGAGAGGCTCAACGAAAAGAGCCAGGAGCAGCGCAAGAGGCCCTTCCTCAAGAAAATCGGCATATCCATGACCGAAGACAGACCTCTACTTGCCAAGCTCACGCCCAAAATCATGGGTAAGCCCTACCTCGAGAAAATTGGCCCAAGTAAGGCCATCGATAAACCGTTTCTCGAGAAAATCGGTTCATCGAGGACTCTCGAAAAATTCACTTTTGATATTGTACCAAAGAAGAAAACCACTACCGCAACCATGGTCGAGGCGAGTATCGCCGAGGAAGCTGAGCGCATGCGTCGCGAACACATCCGTGGATTCTCCACCGGCGAGAGACGTAAGTCCGGTAAAAACTTTCTCGCCAAAATGTACTCCTTCGAGACAGAGGATCTCGAGGATACGTCACTGTCGATGAAAGCCATTCACAGAGATCCCATGAGGGGAACTTCGTTGGATGACGTACTGGACTCTGGACCCAGCAGTATGCCTCGCATCAACGAAATGTGCGCAATGACCAATTCGGACATCGAGACGCCTAGTACGAGCGTCGCCGAGCTTGTCAAGTGTCGAGTGACGACTAGCGAAGAGATCATTTCCTCGAATTCGTGCCTCAACTCGCCCATGGAAATCAGCTGGGGCAACTCGCCCCGCAAAAGGGATCTACCACAGAGAAAGCCAACCGACAACGGCACAATAAGCAAGAGTGCCAACAATAACGACAGCGTTCCCAACTCGCCGACTAAAAGAGCGCACAGCTCTATCACTCCCGAGAGAGTGACCGCGAGGTACAAAAATCTCGCCTCCGTGCGTCAAACCAGTCGTCAGGCCTCCGAGGACGGAGTGCTCGACAAACGAAAGAGTCGCCACGAGCAATTCGAGCGTCGCGGTGTCTCGTCGGATAATCTAACCAAAGATCATCGGGTCGTCACTCCGGTGTTCGCTGAAATTGGTCTTAACGGCAAAGGCTCCAGCACTTCCATGGTATCGAGTGGTTCTAGCGTGAGACAATTACACGATAAATTCGAGAGCCAAGAAATCATATTGACCGAGACGTATGCAGACTTCAAACGTAGGACGCAACCGAACTTGTCCAACTCGTCGAATGCACTGAAACGGCTGATCGTTCGAGAGAGAAATATTTCACCGTCGTTCGACACTAACCTTTCGTCGCGGGACGACAAACTCACAAGTGAAGGATCGCCCAAAGTACGCTCAAAGTCCGTGGAAAATCAACGCGAGAACAAACTTGAAAATTCCAATCGACGCTCAAGAACGCGATCAGTGTTGAGAAAACAGCATGCGGTCGAGGAGCAACATCAACTACCACCTCAGAGAAGTAAGATCCCAAAGGATCCGTCGCAGGAGACATTGGATTTACTGTCTGAATTGCAGAAAGTAAAGAGTTCGCTTAAAACACCTACAGTGGACAAGACCTACGAGATGGTTGAGCTTAAGTCCTTTCCGAAGAAGGTTCTTCTCACCGATCAAGAGTTCTGCTTATCGATCGAGCGGGAAAACAGCGTGAGAAGGCCACCGAAAGTAAATGTCATCGAGGCGATAAGTAATTCGCCTGAAAAAAGGCTGGCGTTGTTCGAAAAGCGATGCCTGTCGCTTGACTATGCCGATGACGAGAAATCAGTCTCCGTCAAAATTGAACCTCGTGCGACTTCTCTCGCTTCGGCAAGAAGTCCGCGCTCCGGGGAGCTGCTCGAAGTAGGCTTCGTAAGCTGCGATTCGGTTAGCTCGGACGTGTTCGCCACTCCGTCCGATGAACTTGTCGACAAGCCTGTTTCGGTAGAGCAAGAAGTGAAGAAAATCGAGAGCGAGATTTCGAAAAACTCCAAAAACAAGATAGAGGCCGCGAAGAAAAAAAAGGCTCCCGAGGAAAAATCGCCTAGACCGAATCACTGCTCAGAGTCGGATGCAACGAACTGTCAGCAACAGCCACACCAGCAACAGGTCAACAGCAGTCCCAAAAGAAGATGCCAGAGCGAATCGTCGGAAGTAGCCTCACCAAAAGCAACGCCTTTCCGAGTAAAAAAACGACTTGGCAGAATCTCGGTCGAAGAAACGGTCAGGCAATCGGAAAGTTTTATCAGCAAAGAGTGCAAGGAGCCCAGCGCCGCTCAAAAGAAGGCCAAATGCCAGCCACTGTAGAACTCGAAATATTCTAGATAATAAAGCGTAAGCTTTCGGACCATTTTTCTATTTTACCTAAGACTATACGTGTAAACGCGCACACGCGGCAGTTATATATATATACACAAACACGAAATGTACACACACACTGTGTCCTTTTTGGATGAATTGTTGTTTATCTTACGGCGATATTCTAACTGTCATGGTCGATACATCAACCGAACTCTGTAACTTTCAACAAACAAGTGTTTGCGATCTCTTTGTTTTATATTCTAAAGAGTCTTTTTCAACTATATTGACGCACACATCCGCGGTCAAAAGGATATATTATACGTATGGGTTTTTCGGTTGATTTTTCTCTCGATTTTGTAGTATATAAGTAGTATAATAGTTCATCAGATTATTTTTTTCTTTGGACTGAGATGATCTTGTTACAACAAAACATGAACGTTTTCAATCGTATTTGGTACTTTTGTATGATAACATTAATTAGAAGCTACGAGCTTTGTTAGATTAAAAATCTTATTGAGATGAACAAACAACTTTTCAAGTACAAGTACGATTTTACTTTGCTAATTCGGAGTCTTAAACTATGGCGACTAAGAACATTTTATTGCGCAGTGCCTTGTCTGTATAGATATGTACTAATCGACGGTGAAGTAAACAAAAAAAAGTATATGTAGAGCACGTCGATGAGTTTTTCCATGTGGAATGTTGAATCGTCCTTGAAAATAGAATTTAACGTACGTAAAAGCCAATAAAAGACAAGTTTGCGAATGAGAATAAATGTTAGTGCAATTACAAGGAAAATTAACTGCTATCAAATATTTCAAATACGATTAAAAAGCAAACTTTCGAATCTTCAATTAAAAATTTTCTCGATGTAACTGCAACGACATTTACGTAATGTGCGATACAACAAACAAACAAAATATATAGGTATAGTAAAATGATCGATATACGTTCCTCTTGTGATTTTTTTAGAGACGTAGTGACGCGCTGATTATGTGGAAAGTATAAATTACATAAATATGTATATATATTTATATATATGTGTATATGTATATGTATATGTACATGTATATATATATACACTGTTCTAGTTGTTAATGCTGTAACTATTAATCTTACGAGAATATTTATACGTTGTACGTATAGATAATTTAGTCTTAGAATTCATTATTGTATAGAAATGCGCGCAAGAGATATAACTATATTATCGCGCGCTCATTTGATTATTTTTGTCCACCTCCACCAATGAAAATGAAGCGAAAAGTAATCGCAGGCGAGGACGCGCTTGTAGAACGTGATTGAAATTCTAGATGCGAGATGTGCCAAACATAGATATGATTTACAATCTTTGTTTTTTAATGTTTATTTCATAAAATAGATATATATCTACAGCAAACGACATATAAATATATTTGTTAAAATGAATACTAATGTAATAGGTGTCACTTGTCTTTCAAAGTCTTATTTGATGAAATTTCATGATTATCGCTTACTTCACTACTGAGTAAACTAAAAATATTGATTCTCATTTCTCAAGAAAAAAGCGGAGCGAAGAAATCATCACGAGCAAGAAAATGAAACATTACTTATTTGTTATTGATATGAAAAAGCCAACAGATGGCAACTATCCGTCCACCATTACGGTTGCCTCATTTCAAATCATCAATACACTTTTTTCGATGTAGATTTATTTTCAGGAAGAGCTTTTCACTTTTTCTCGCTGGCGAGATGTATTTGTGAAAATTGTTCAGAAATTTTTTTATTTTTATTTTATGCAATACAAAGAACTGTTGAGATTTTCATAAATTACACATTGTTAGCGAGTCTATATATCAGAAAGCAGTTGGCAAACTGGAACGAGTATTATATTAGTATTATTAAGTTTCTTGTTTATCCGCTGGAAAATGCGTATAGTCAGTCTCTATATTTGATTATTGGTGCATACTCCTTCATGCGTAAGTTAGATTTTTGTAATTTTAAACATATTTTAATGAAAAGAAGCAGGCCTTTAATTTTGATTTATGAATTATATTGGTGCGGCACGTTGAACGTGATGCATTGGAAATACGCAATTTTGAAAGTTGATTTTATATATAAATGTATATAATCAACTTTTAAATTATTGACTTATACGATATCTATGGTATAAGTGATAATTCAACCGATATATTGTTGAAGAGAAAATAAAAATTATTAATGACATGTTTCGTGCGGATAGGATGTAAGTGTTCATGAATACTTGTGAAATGCCTGTGTTTTTTATGTATGTCAGACCAACATTTACAATGTTCTAGAATAATTATATCGTCTAAAAGATTTATAAAGAAATACTTATATCTGATCTATAAAACATATTCAATAATCTTAATAATTATAAAACCAAAAATTGTGTTAAAATTATCATAGTTTTTATAGCAATTCAAAGATACGTGTGAAACGGATGGGTGGTGATAAATTACTTGTTTAACTTTTGACCGTAACAAATCTAAATCAAAACATTTTCCGTTCGTATCTGTCTCAAATTTGCAAAATTGCATTCTATATTGAAAAAAATTGACAAACATTTTATAAACAGTGTGATATTTAATAAGCCACTAGTTATTAGTATAAATTGGCGCAATGGAAATAAATAATAAAATAAAAACTACATGAATTCTCGTTCGATCTTTATTATTATAATCACCTTATGAAGTCTCTGTTGGATATTCACTTCCTAAAATCATATAATACAAACGTTTTTCTTTATCATATTTATTGAACCTACTCCTAGAATGCACTCCTAATGGGCCTATTCTTTTATGAAATCGATAGGGAGTTTCAATTTACGGACAATAGCTTGAACAAGAAATTCGGTAAGTCTTCAAATTACTTTAATGACGCGTGTATGTGTGTGTGTGTATATGCACCCAAAATCGTATTTGACCTTCGTTTCTTAATTTTAAAATACAATCTGTAGTGTTATTGGTGGATATAAGGTGCATCGATTGAAGCCAATTTTAATATAGAAGCTGTATATAGGGACTTAAAGTAATTTTTAAATCAGAATATGACCTTTTTATATTTTGACTTTTTATTCGAGGCTTCATTTGAAGGAACCATAAACCTTAAAGACGCGTTATTTCAGTTTCAATAGTTTCAGGGTGTACGATATCAAGTGGTTTTAATGTTATTATATCGGACAATTTCATATACTCTAAATTTAATTTATTTGAACTTACGTTATTTGCATATAATTATACTTCATTTATATTGTTTACCGACATTCATTTATGATTCACTCATTGTATTCAATTTAAGTAATTCTACGAAAGGCAGTGCCTCGCTGAGTCGTTGAGATGGTGTCGATTTCTCTCTTTGTGCCCTACAGTCCACTCTACTAGTTTACGCGTTTCTCGTGGTCTCCTCATGGCTAACATGTGTTACCCCGACGGCGCATAAGCCACACAACTGAGCCACGATCACGTTATCGTGACTATCGCCTATGTTTTGGTTCGACACCCGTCTCATGTTTCCGCTTTTCTTTTTTTTTATTGCTTTTAAGATTAAGAGTGACGAGAGTGGCAATAGTCGGCGGTCAGTTTGCTGAGAGCCTTCGACGAGCTTGTACGCTCTCAGTTGTATCCTCCGTCAATTCATGAAATAAAACCTGATCATTCCGTCTTTAAATTCATCAAATTTTCCTATCAAATCACCTTTCGTACTGAATTAATTTTCATACGAAAAGCACAGACACTGTGCCAAAGAACCACAGGGTAATCTATTTCGTTGAAAATATTATTTTTTGATGAAAATTTATTTTGACGGTTCTCAAATTGACTATTCATAGAAACTTCATGGCTATCAAGTATGAGTTACAATAGAATTTTCATGACTATCAATTACATTTTGAGCTGTTTATACTTGTCTAGTTAATGCTACATCTGCTTTTAAGACGATTTGCCTTGTGACGCGGAGCAATTGAGGAAAAATCCGTGAGTTGTTTATTTTCCGCTTCCAACGATCACCAGCGACGTCGGCAGCCGATTTACTGTTTAATTCATTATTTTCATCAAGCCTTAACTCGAACACCGTATGAGATGAGAATCTCTTTCTTGAACATGTATTGTACAGTATTTTTTTATATGACGTATGGAAAGCTTGTTTTTCGATGCAAGTTTTTGGCCGAACGCGTGGAAAGTACATGCTTTCCGCAAGGATTATCGAAAGAATCAATTTTCTTAAACTCCTAGATTGAAAACCTACAACTTTGCAACTGTAAACTTATATATCCTAATTATCTTAACACTTAAGCTCGAATAAAGAATTTTATATTCATCGTTGATTCTTCAGTAATCCTTTCTGTCAACTCCTTTAGGATAATTGGAGATTCAATTGTCAAATATCAATTTAATACGATTTTATCAGACGTCCTATTTAAGATAGCTTATCATATGAACGAAGGACAAGGAGAAAGATTTGTTGTTGGGCACTAACTAAAGCCTTCGCGGGGAAGAGCGATTAGCGGTGAAAACAGGTAAGCATCGTTCGCTGTATTTTCGATAATACTCTTCTCGGCTCGCATCGGCCTCGTAGACCACCTGTAAGCGGGGAAGGAGCGCGATAATACTTAATTAAATTTCGTTCGATTTTAGGAGCTGTCGGCTAGTCAAAAAATCGGTGAGATGTACTCTGCCCAGGAGCAGCTAGTCGGAACTGGAAGTCCCTAGATAACCATGATCGGCAGTCGATTTGAGAGCCGGAATATCAGAATGGCCGAAACTCCCTTCTACTAAAAAAAGTTCATAACATTTGTAATGAAATTATAGAATTTTTTTCTTTCTTATGCACATTTCTATATTATGCACGTTAAATTTTACAATTTCATCACGGTAATTTGTACTGATGGTAAACTACAAAATTTACATAAACAAAACAGTGGCACTGCAGCAGTGCTATTCATACAACACGAAAACATTTGTTATTGTTGTACGTTCTTGAAATGAACGTAAAGTAAAAAATTTGATTAATAAATTCAACAACCGATAATGGAAAACTATCTAATAAATCAAAATTCTTCTTTGGTAAGTGCGAATTAAAAACTTTTCGGATTTGTTTAATATATTTATAATCTTATTATTTTTTATTTGTTTCAACGAGAGTCTTATCAGCAATCATTTTCTTGCCATTATATTAAATCAATGTGAAAGAAACACTTGGAAACGATTCACCAGTTCGAAATGATATAGTCCTGTGCGTGTTAAAATTGGCTGTAAATCTTCAGAAAAATTCTCGACAAATCGAAACAGCTTTTAAAATAGAAATATTGAAAAGAAAGATATTGAATAGCAAGTAGCTTAGTATAATATAGCTTAGGTAAATTGTCTCTATTCGTGTTGTACAAGATATGACCGTCACTATGAATGACTTGCCAAGAGATACTTAAGCACCACTTGCGCAATTTCTCTAACTTTAGTCCTTTAAATTTTACTTAGGTACCAATATATTACATGACCTATTTATAATGGTCAACAACAATAACTATAATTAAAGATTTTAATCATTTTTTATACGTCTTCAGTAATTCAAAAGATGTAACTTATTAGTGTATATTTATTTTGATCAATATACTAATGTTTATTCAAAGTTATGAATTGATACATAATCTTTCTCCTCATAAAAGTTGTTAAAATACTAGACTACGAGTTAAAAACCATGCTATTTCACTTTCTGTGCACAAAACTGTTTGTTCAATACAAACTTCATAAAGCTTAACAATCTCAATACCTTCATGTAGATAACGATTTGTAACATTTTTTATCAAATATTTATAGATAATTTATCTTTATATCAAGATTAAGGAAGAATGAAATAAATATCATTTACGATGATAGATCACCAGTTAGATTTTAATGCAACTGTCCCAGAGGTTTGATTGTTAGTTCGGTAATTTGCACGTGTTGAGGTGCAGAAATCACATGCACAATAGAATTCGCTACGTCTTCTGGGTTTAATGCAGGTCTTTCTTTCAAAAATGAAGGATCCATATTTGCAACATCAAAAAAGTCGGTTTTTACTACCCCCGGACTGATGCTCTTAAAATAAGAAGTTTGAACAATATAAATATCAGGTATTATACTTATGAATAAGTTTTAAGGTGAAACTGAATTGTAAAACTTACCGTTACTCTAATTTTTTCACCACTCATTTCGTTAATCAATGTTTCAGATAATGCTGTTACAGCATATTTTGTTGCTGGATATACATTTAATCCTTTAATAGAAGGAACTTTATGCCCTGCGTTACTGAAATACGACGAAACATTGTTTTATCATTATTAATATTTTTTATCAAAACATTAACAAAATGCACGCTTTAATTACCTATTGATATTAATTATATGAGCATCGTGTTTATTTTTCTTCATAATGCTTATTGCATGTCTTGTACAATGCAAAAGGCCAACTACATTTACATCAATAATATGTTTTAAATCTTCACTTTTCATGTCTGCAATAACAAAATTTAGTCCACTTTATTCTTTAGAAAATTATTTCCCTAGAAGTCAAATGTCACTACCTTCAATAGTTGAATACTTAGCACAGCCTGCATTATTTACAAGTATATGCACGCTTTGAAAATTTTTTTCAACCCAATCGAAAACTTGCTTCACTTCACTTTCATTTGTGACGTCACAAGCTTTGGCGTAAAACTTTCCTGGTCCAGGGACAGCCTTCATACCATTCTTTGAAAATAAAAAAAAATCATTGACAAAAGTGAATGAAATGTAACGTACTGTAAAATTTTAGAATTTCAGAATATGTTGGAGGCTTTGTTATTTTCCGGCGTGCAGACAATTGTGCACGGTTTAATTATACACGCAAACTATTGTGCACAGTACTCGTAATGTGTCATGAATCAGCGTGTATCAATTCTTACGTTATGTTAAGATGCACGATGATAATTTGTGTGTATAATAAAACCGTGCACGGTTGCTTACGTGCCTATTTTACCTGCATTTTATCTGTTCTTCGAGATAGACCCACAACAATCATGCCATTTTGCACTAAAGCTTTGGATGTTTCCAAGCCTATACCTGCAGATGCTCCAGTTACAACAGCTACTTTTCCAAACCAGCGTTCCATTTTCTAATTGTCAATATAAATACCTTCCGCTTTTTAAATATTTTCTTTAATTAGGTACAGTAATAATGTTTACAATAAATTAATCGTAACTTTTCTGCTGTTTTGTCTCTGAAAGCAGATTTGCAACTGATGAGTACAGCCGAGTTGCAGGTATTATCGGTAGCAATTATCTATGATTTTTGCGTGGTCATGATTGCGCAAATTACTCACGCTATCACGAATTTGCAACGTTAAATATCAAAGTTGTTTCTTTTTTATTTCACGCTTGTTCAAATGAATCAATAATAATGTATACAGAAATATCCGATAATGAATTACATTAAATCAAATTTTAATTGCCTATTCTATCGGCGGATAATGTAATAACTGACAATCATGTTTTCGACGTTGGTAGAAAATATGATCTCCGAAGCAGAATAAACATGACTTGATAAGAATACGACTATATAATTCTCACACTTGATTTATCTTACCATTTTTACAAAATAGAATGTTATTTTCATTACCACCATAAAGGAAGTACCATTAGTATAGTTTATGTTCTAAAGGGAAATTTTCCAATAAATAGAAAAATACATTTATTTGTATTATAATCTATAATTCTAATTATAATTTTACAAACTGTTCTAATTTACATAAAGTATTAGTAAAATATTTATATCAATAAATAAAACACTCGAGTAAAACTTCCTTAAATAATTTTATTTCTCATACTTTGTTAAACTATAGCGGTGAATAATACTTATAACTATAAGTACCAGTAGACGTAAAATGTAGTAAGCTACACGTAAATTTGGTTCGGATATTAAATTTCATTGGCCCTAGTCCAGAAAACGTTAAGACAGTAAAATCGATACAGTAACATCCCGTTAAAACTAGTAAAATATTTTTTCGTGTTTTCAAGATATTCAAACATTGGTTGGTTGGTTGGTTGGTTGGTTGGTTGGTTGGTTGGTTGGTTGGTTGGTTGGTTGGTTGGTTGGTTTGTGTGTGTGTGTGCGCGTGTGTGCGTGTGTGCGTGTGTGCGTGTGTGCGTGTGTGCGTGTGTGCGTGTGCGCGTGTGTGCGCGTGTGTGCGCGTGTGTGCGCGTGTGTGCGTGTGTGTGTGCGTGTGCGTGTGTGTGTGTGTGTGTGTGTGTGTGTGTGTGTGTGTGTGTGTGTGTGTGTGTGTGTGTGTGCATTGCACTCTAGTTAGAAAGAATATCAACAACAAACAAGATGGTTTTTCTAACCAAAAGCCAATCTTCACAGAATACTAGTGCCAAAGTTTTTACATACAAAGTCAGTTCAGATTCAAGTCCAAGTTATGCAGCAGCCACACAAAGTAGTGATTTCCCAGTGAGAGAACAAGGATTGATAATGGAGTGTTCGAACGAATTAACGCTAACAGATTACACGTGTGCAATTGGTGATATTGTCAAACCAGAAAATATAATTTACGCGACTAGAATTTCCAAGAATCGTGTGTGTTTGTATTTATCAAGCAAAACATTAGTCGATGAGCTCACAGACAAGTATACTTCGCTGAAAGTTAAAGATATCGAAATTCCCATCAGACCTTTAGCCTCGAAACAAAAACGATTGATTTTCTCAAATGTTGCGCCTCCGATCCCTCATCACCTTATTGAAGATATCATGGACACTCTTGGTGTGAAGAGATTCGCTCCAATTACTACTTTAAAAGCTTCCATAGCCAAAGACGGTTACAATCATGTGTTAAGTTCCCGGAGACAAACCTACATCGACCCCAATGACGTTTCAAAACTGCCAGAAGTAATTAAAATAGATCTTGGAGATCTCTCCTACTATATTTACCCGAGCACTGATACACTTAAGTGCTTCATATGCAACATCGAAGGCCATATAGCTAAACACTGCCCGAGCTCTAGTGATGTAAACAAAGACGCTAACTTGAGTTATAATACCAACACTTCCAACGACGTCGAACCTGTACAAATGACTGCACCTACTGGGATAGACATTCAAGAAGAATCTGTTATAACGCCTCCCAAACTACCTGAAAGTACTCTTCCGTCGAAGAATAAACAAAATAACCTGTTTGCTATGCCAGCTTTGCCTAAAAAAAGACATCTGTCTTTAAGCAATAGCAGTACTTCGTCACAATCAAATTCTCCGGTAAATCTCTCAACAACTGACAACAAACTTGATTCCACAAATAAAAATAAGGATGGCCACTTTATGGCAATAAAAACAATTCTAAAGTCTGCTTCAGAAGTACTTGAGAAAGGAAAGGATATTTACCCGTTGTGTTTTGACGATTTTGCAAACTTTTTAGTGACATCCCACGGTTGCTTTAATATCCCCGAGGAAGCAAAGAAATACACTGAAAAAACTGATGGATTGCTGCTAATGATAAAAGCTGCTCATGATAATATTGACGATCGAAATTTAAAATCGAGAATGAACAGAATTATTAAAAAACTCGAAAAAAACAATTCATCTATTGAGCTCCAAGTTAGTGGTGAATCTAGTGCCGATGAAACATAGGTGTGAAAAAGTAGTATAACATTCAAAAGAATAAAAAAAAAAAAAAATGGATCCTGATCTAAAAGACATTAACCTTAAAATAGTTTTCTGAAATACCAGAAGTTTTGTAAAAAGAAGAGCTGACATTGAACTTATCCTGAAGGATGTTGACATTCTTATATGTGTGGAGTCCTGGCTAACAAAGAAGCATATAATTCGCCATCCTAATTTTGTTGTCATTAGAAGAGACAGAAGAACGGAAAGAGGAGGAGGCATCATTTTCCTCGTTCGAAAAAATCTAGCATTTTATGAAATTGGCAACCTCACTTCGCCAGCTGAATCAGTGGAAATATGTGGAGTTTGTATAAATAATGTAAGTCCACCCGTCGACATCATAGCAGTTATAGATCCCCGAGCCTCACATTAACTCAGTCACAGTGGTACACATTGCTCGATAATGTAAACAGTCGCTCGCACTGTCTGTTAGTCGGCGATTTTAATGCGCACAATACAGCTTAGAACTGTAACGATACCGATGATAATGGCGAATATTTTTTCAATTCAATAGATTTGCATGATTTACACATTCACAATTTTGATACATATACCTATGAAGATATACATCACAATTACAGTTCTAACCTTGATCTAATTTTAACCTCTTCTAGTTTGAATGCCAATACCTCAGTCACTGTTTATGATGAGCTTTGGGGATCTGATCATTACCCGATTTTCATTGATGTTAGTACGAAAAAACATTGCTATGAAAAAAAGTCGTTTAAAATAAAAAGCGTCCGAACTGATTGGTTAAAATTTCAAAATCATCTGGAAGAAAATCACGAATTATTTTTCACAACAGAGTACAACTGCAAATTGGCTAATGAAAAATATAAATTTTTTACTTATTTAGTAACTCAAGCTATGGAAATAAGTACGCCAAGAACTAAAAATTTTGTAAAAAAAAACACGTGAATAGTAACCCGCTCCCTTGGTGGGATAACGAATGTGCCTTACTAAAGAGATTGCGTCGCGCTTCGTACAAAAAGTGGAAATTCTCAAAAAGCCTCGCAGATCTTATAACTTATAAGAAACAATGCGCTCTCTTTCGCAAAACTACCAAAAAGAAAAAAAAGGAATGCTTCGTGAAATTTGCGGAAAGTCTAAATGCACATTCGAACATGAGCTATGTAATGCAAAAATGTAAAGTTCTAAAAAATAGTTGGACAAAACCGTGTAATCAAAACTCATCGAGTAACTTACAACATTCAGAAAAAATAGACACAGCGCTGAAAAAATTGTGCTCGCTACCAACAAAAATTTCCGATTCATCGTGGATACCAGAATGTCAGCCTAATCTTTTTTTCGATTCGCCTTTCGATTTTGTCGAATTCAACACAGCTCTCGATACAAAAGATACTAAATCAGCCCCCGGTATGGATGGTATCGACTTTGAAATACTACAGAAATTGCCAATTAAACTGAATCTAATTTTATTAGATATATTTAATGAAATTTATCTCACTAATGACTTTCCACCAACTTGGAAGCAATCATACATACACTTTATACCCAAAGCAGACAACAACGGCGTGAGACCCATCTCTCTAACCTCTTGTATGTGCAAACTATTTGAAACTCTTATAAAAAATAGACTTTCTTGGTGGATTGAATTCAACAATCTCCTTCCAAATAGTCAAAATGGCTTCCGCAAAAGCAAATCCTGCGCTGATAATCTTACCACGTTAACACTGAAAATCGAAGAGGCATTTATAGAAAAAAAACATCTCCTTGCGGCTTTTCTTGATGTACAAGGGGCTTTTGATAGCATTAATATTGATATTCTTCTTACTAAACTTGTCGATATAGGATGTTCAAGAAATGTAGTTTTATTTATTAAATTTATAACTTATGGAAGACTTATTTATGCGGATTTCCTTGGGGATGATCATCGAGAAACCTACAAAGGGGTGCCACAAGGAGGTGTTTTGAGTCCGTTGTTGTATATCATATATGTAGCATGCATCCTCTCAAACATTCAAAAAAGTATTATTGTATCACAGTTTGCCGACGACATCGCAGTATACATAAAATGCGGCTCGATTAAAAGAGGAAAACGGATTCTAACTAATTGCATTAAAAAAATAAAAAGCAACTTGGAAAATATTGATTTAGATCTCACGTCTTACAAAACTAAGTTCGTCCACTTCAACAACAAAAATATTCCCCCGGGTTCGCTCGAAATTCAGCTCGACAATTGTTCTATCAAATCAGTAGAAGCGGCTCGTTTTCTCGGAGTTATATTTGATTACAAATTGTCATTTTCTCAACACGTCAACGCAGTCACAACAAAATGTTCTAAATCGCTCAATATAATTCGTTTTTTGAGAGGTACGTGGTGGGGTGCTCACCCCGAAACGCTTATTCTTCTTTACAAAAGCTATGTAAGATCCATAATGGAGTATGGTTCTTTTATCTACTTTCCCAAACGCATCGAACTTGCTGAAAAGTTAGAATTAATTCAGCGAAATGCAATCAGAGCTGCTCTTGGCTATAGGAACAGTACTCCGAACAATGTAATCATCGCAGAATCGAAACTTCCTTTAATGATTAAAAGAATTGAATTCCTTTGTAAATGCTTTCTAGTCAAGTCAATTTCTAACAATAACAGCCAAACCGCTCAAACGATCTCTAAATTCTATTACATTGTTCAAAAGAAAAAAAAGATCAGTTCTCGCCTCATTTCTAAATGTTTAGCCACTGTTATGGTCGACCACTCTGCTATCGAAACACACCTCAATTTATTAATATATCAATATCAATACGAAACGCTAGCAACTTCCATTCCGATCGAAACCGAACTAGGCAACAGACTGAAGGAAAGTAACAATGCGAATGAAGAGTTCATGCAATTTATGGAAAAAAGTCATGCAGTCTCTGTGTACACGGATGGCAGCAAAATCTCTGAAGGGCTTCATACTGGAGCAGCTTGTTATTGCCCAGATTTAAACATTCATATTAAAAAAGCATTACACAGCAGGGCATCTGTGTACACGGCAGAGTGCTTGGCTCTTAATGAAGCGATTGATATCGCCTTTCTTACTAAAAACCGTGAAATCTTTATCTTCTCAGACTCACTAAGCGCACTTGAATCTTTGAAATCGACTAAAATCAACTCAACCACTAATTCATACATCTTAGAGATCAAAAGAAAATATAAAGCATTGTCAACCTCTAATCGTAACGTAACTTTTTTCTGGATTCCTTCCCACAAAGGTATTTCGGGCAACGAACAAGCAGATGTTCTCGCCAAAGAAGCTACTGAAAGCACTAGTTCTGATATCACTGCCATTCCGTTTACTGACCTTTATGAAGATTTTAAAAAGCAGGCGTACGCGGAATCTGAGAAGATTTATTTAGATAAAAGTGTTACTACAGGCACTATATATTTTAATAATTATTACAAAAGTAGCAGAAAACCTTGGTTTGTCGGTAGATCCCTCAAGAGAGAATTTATTATTACAATAAATAGATGTCGAGCTAACCATTATAATCTAGCAGCGTCGATGTATCGCAAAAATTTAGTAAATGATCCTAAATGTAAATGCCAAAAAGAAGATGAGGATTTAAATCATGTATTATGGCAATGTGCCCTCTACGAAGAACCTAGGAAAAAACTACATAACTCTCTTATGAAACTTAAACTGTTTCCACCGTTATGTATTGAAATGCTTATTGCGGATCCAAATATCGAAGCTTGTATTTGCGTCTTTGAATTCCTAAAAAAATGCTCTTTAAAAGTGTAAATTATTGTAACATATGAAATGAATAGATTGTAAGAAAACTGTACATTCTGTAAATTAAAATTGTAACTTTACTGTAGCATATATATATCTCTATAGAGATATGAAATGCTTAATAAATAAAAAAAAAAAAAAAAAAAAAAAAAAAATATTCATATATGTTGTGATTCTTTATAGTTATTTTAAAAATCTTAAAAGTTTGCTGTTCGATCGTAATATCAATAAATGTTATTATTTTAAATGCATTTTCGTTTCTATAAAGTATGTACAATAATTAAAAAATCTATTGTACAATTTTCTGTCATTTATATAACCTACAATATATATTCTTAATAACATTAATATATTCATGAAAAAATATACTAATCCAAATTAATTTACCACAATAAAAAAAAAAATTGTGTGGCGTTTTAAGCTTCTAAAAATTATAACCCCGCCGCCCCAAGTATTTTTAACGTATGACAATCTAAGCCAGCACATTTTTCGGGCAAACTAATCAGTCCAATTTACTACAATAACTTGCAGTGATTCTACCACACTCTTATAAATTCACAGCTTAATATGATAACATTAAAAGTGTTGTAAGCTTAATTAAGTCACTTGTAGTCTGACCGCACCGTACACTTTATCGCCACACCTTTTAATCAGTAAATGCAACCATGCGATAACAGTGATGAAATGCTCTTAATACGAACTGCTAAAAATATCATTGCTTCGCAGTAAAAAAATACATAATCGTTTCAATCATACGTAGATTATTGCACAGTCAGCAAGAAATCGATGAAAGATGATCTTTTTATATTATATTTTGTAAATGTGTATTACACATAGCTCGAGCATAAGAAGAAAAAAGCATATAGAAATATTTACGTACATTTTTATTTAAAGTTATGAGCATTTACTCAGCAGTTAAGAAAACTAATAAATTTAATATATGAATGCCTAATCATATCGAAGTTGTTTTGTAAAACCAGGTAAATCCGATTTTTTATAGTAATAAAACTGTTTTATCAAGATAATATAAAAATTATGTAGTTCAAAAGTTATATATTATATTTACAATCACTTATCAACTTTGCAAATTTCAATTGTTAGATAATTACGTTACTATTATTAATCAAAGAACTTGCAGTGCTGTTGAAAGTATTATTGGCAATACTTTTAACTGAAGATGGTGGTTGAAATTGTAGAAGTATTACCAAATATGTTGTTACTGATCCTGTAATCTAAGATATTTAAAATAATTTCTCATCTCAACTTAGTTTTACATTATTTTTCGACATTTAATTGAACACAAATGATATTTTTTTAAATTAAAAGGATATAATTCGCTATATACACAGTGTTAGACACGAATTTCTAAAATAAATTATTGTAGTCACTTACCGACACCAACAATGAGCCGTCCATTGAAAATAGATCAAAAACAGGAAATTCTAAATTATTGGATAGTAAATAAATGGAAAAATAGAGCAACTGTAATAAAATTTCATCGATAAGCATTATTTATTTATAAAATTGAATAGTTAAATATGAATTAGAAAAATAAATATGCTTTAAAAGTTACCTTGTCTTTAATGATTTGAGCTTCGGCTTCTTTTAAATAATCGTTGATCATTTCTATTGTTTTTTGACTCTGGAAAAATGGAAAATAATTTGTTAGTCTCATAAAAGCTAGTCTCTGATAATTATTTAAATACACTAATCTCACTTTATCAATTGTACTGTCGACCGATGATGTCAATAAAATTATGGTAAATACGTGCACAAATATAAAGAGTAGGCTGCTCACGTAATCAAGAGTATCTAAATCTGAATTACCAAAAATAAGTGGCTTTGAAATATAATACGTAATTGTTATAATCATTAAAATTTCACATAATATATTCAACAACATTGGGAAAGAATAAAATCTTGATACATCTCTCGACAATCTATGAAGCTGTGAGTACCATTCCCATGTCTGTGATAGTTTTTGGGTAATTTCTATCACATTAACGTTTTCAACTTCTGGTGGTAGGTTAAAATACTTGGCAAAGTCATAAATATTTTTATTCAAAGTGTCAAATAAATCTTCAATTATATTGAGGCATATAAAGTATTGCAACGTGAATGCATTTCGTATAAAACCGCACACGATTGGAGCAGAAAATGACATCGCAATGGAGTATTCGTACATAAGTATCGTCGCAATCAAAGCTGTCCAAGTAACTATGTTTATAAATAACACTGTGATAATTTTTTTGCAGGACAGAGTGTTAGCTTCAGAATGTAAATCGTCATTTCTTTTCATGATTTCTCTTATACTATTAACTCTACTAAATAGAAGTAACAGTTTCGTTTGTTTGATGGAAAATGTCAAAAGAATACACAAAGTGGTACAAATAGCATACGTATCTGCAATTGCATAGACTGTACCGTCAAACCCCCAATGACTTTCTTCGTAATAATTATTTTTCATATTTATGAAGCTACCAACACTGACACAGAAAATCAAAAATAAGTTGTAAGCAATGCTTCTATAACTATGAGTGAAGGTCCATCGGTTCACTTTTGCATTATAGATCGCCAGAACGTTGAAATCTACTGGCGCCATTCCGCACACTTTGAAGTAATAAAAGAATGATTTCAGATGAACTAATTCCATAAATTCTAAATTTCTATTTACGTTTCTTGTTTTGTTAATTATCAAAAGATCACATGTATTTTGCAATTCTTACAACGAGCACTGCAATTGAATTGTGATGCTATTTCTTAAAAACGAAGCTAGCGTTCATCGCACACTTCAACCTGAAGCTCGTATGCAACTGGTAGGCAATTACTTTCCTCGTGTCCTACCTTCGTGCGGGCGATAAACAACAGTCGCGCGAACGACGCGGCGAACTAGCATTCTCACTCGACCTTGCGCAGTTTGTTTAATTTTGCCTGTGCTACTAAAAGAGAGCGAGGACAGTATTTTAGAGTAAATCAAACCTGGAAGTGAACTCGATCTGGCACCAACGTCGCATGAAAATAGTAAGTTACGCTAGAGGAGAAATTCCGGAACACATGCTACTTCTCGTCACATCGTAGTTGATATACTCTTGCGTAATTAAGTCAAAAGTGACAATAAAATGGGCAAACTATTTTATTTTTCATGGCGCTAAGACGATTTGGTCTACACTATTTCGGGATAAAAGATTATTTTTTATGGTTGGCAAGCAAGTTTAACATTCGATTATTCGATTAAATCAATGTGAGCATCAATTATTTGACATTTTAGGCTAGTTTGACGGTCAACTAAGTTGTGATGCAGATCAATAACACGACTTCAAACTGACTGATGAGAAAATCAAAAGCTACTACTCAAATCTAAGTTTTGCTAAATAAAGCATCAATAAATTAAAAAATAAGCAGTTACAGAATAACAGCAATTTTCAGAAAAATTTGTCCGTCTTATGAGTTATAGGATATAAGAATGTGTTTTTTTTTAATTTAACAATGATTGAAAATGTTATCATTGTTAACATACTCATGTTCTATTTTTTTCATACATTTTTATAATTATTAAAGAATAATTAATTTATTGTTCTAGCCCGTTAAGCTACTTTCAGAATTAGTTTGAATATTTATTCATTTTGTAGTGCTCATTTTGTAAAAACCGAATTAACAATATGATATAACTTTTTAATCATTCAAAAGAAAGTAAATACCAAAAATCTATATTTCTATTATTAAATTTCTCAAATTCAATTCGTTAAATTTATTACCGATTGTATCGTATTACTTTTATTGTGAGATATATACTACCAAGTCCCGACGTTATTTGCATGGATTCATATTTTGTTATAATTAAACGTTGTGTACAATATATTTTTAGAGGAACGTCGATAGCGCTGTCATTTATCTAACATATTTTTTAATGCCTCTATTTTCAACATCTTCGAATCAATTATTCTACAATATATAAGTGTTTTTGTACGAGTTGTAAACATGCGAGCGTGGGAAAGCTTATAACCACGGGTAAAGCGCTCCGTGCAGATCAGATTTTTATCGTAATCAAATTACTTAAGGGGGTCACCGCTTTACCAGTTTAATATAGAGACAGAGCGTTACCAACCTCTTGTCACTAAGGGGGAGTGATGTGGCGTTCGTCGAAAGTGATTTATCTGTCTAATTTCTAAACGTGATATACTAATATATCCAATAATGAAATAAAAAGTTTAGATTACCATTTTTCATTCAGAAAATATTTAAGTTCAGTTGTTGTAATTTCGAGAAAGTTATTAGAAAAACAAAATTTTTTAATTGCAATTTTATCAGACAATTGTTCGTCTCGGGTTGAGTGTTCTACGCGCGTGTATAATACGCTGAAGTAATACACTGTTACACACACTTACTTTGATTTATGAGTCAATTGTCATCAGTCATCAACTATTTTATAATGACATCAAGTTAACTAAATGTTTATATTAATAATATTATAATTTAAAATATTAGCGAATATTAGGAAATATTAGCTAAGACTAGGAAATAGCTGAACTTTTAACTGAATCTTATTGAATTCCAAAAACGAGAACATCCACACATGCATTTACTTATTATTTTAGCAAATGGTTATAAACTAACCACGTCAGAATCAGTTAATAAATTTATATCAGTTGAATTACTAGATATTACCTTAAATCCTATATTACATGGAATTATTACAATAAAAATGACACGGTCCCTGCGAATATTGGTGCATGGAAAATGGTAAATGTTCAAAAAATTATCCATGAGCAAGAAGTGTCGCAAAGAAGAAAAGGGCCTACGCCGCTATATAATATCGGAGATAAGATCTTAGTGAAGAGTTTGAAGACGACACCATTATACAATCTATGGACAGGGCTTTACATAGTCATACACATAAATACTGACACACACATACGCTAACATATAAAGTTAAAAATATGGAACATAAAAGGCACATTAATGATACAAAGCCTTTTATGGAATAACTGTTTTTTTGGATACTCGTAGTACATCTTGCCTGTGAAGCCCGAGATAATCACTATCTCATGTAATACTTTCAGCGTTACCACAATAGCAATTACACAGGCTTCGATACTATAGATATACCCTCAATGTAGAGATACATCACCAGAGAGCATCTATCTATCTAGAAGCCATATGAACGATACAGTATCTAAGTTCTATAAAATTAACGTGATATTCTCTAATATAGAATTGTCCCTATTAAATTCAACGGAATTAAAAATGCCGTTCTTGCACGGTAGGCACCTAGATTTGTCTACCATACATAATACCGCCCAAAAACTAGACGACTTAATGGAAAACCTAGACATCACCTAGAGTACAGGATCACAAATATCGCACTGGGATTAGCACCAGTTACAGTATATTACAATACGCCAGATATACCTCTCTAGGCATTATAATACGTGCAGCACTTTCAAAACTTAATGTATTCAGTTATGTTTTCGATCAAATTGTAAGATTTTGTAAATGGCTCTGCTCGCCATGCACAAACATTTTTATAAATTGTACTTCGCCAGTAATACAACCCAGCGCTTCGGTCTACCCCCACGCGGTCTACCATTCTCCTCATCAATTGACGCCAACGATTCATACAGTTTACGATCCAGAAAGTCGCAAACTTTTCTGATAGGAGAAGGTGTCGAGTATCCTGCTAATGAGGGATCCTGATGGTGATGCACCGCTAAGAGAAACTACCTGAGTTCCTATCCTATTTTACTTTCTATTTTTTAATTTATCCTCTAAAAATCTATAACTTATTTGTAGAAAGTAAGAGTGTTTCTTTTATTTGCAGAAGGCGTATGCGTCGTTTTTTCCTCTAGTGGAGACCCTTAAACAGATATATACACGGAAAAAAAAGTAAGCTTAGAGCAAGTGCGTAATTTCGCATCCAACGGCAAGCACAGAAGCCTAGACCTCAGATAGGTAAAGGTTCGACTAATTGCTAGTCGGCACCCACTGTACTGTCGTTAGCTACAGAACTATAGTATGGGCAGGTCACTATGCGGACGTAGGCCAACTCGAGCGCGCTAGACTTAAATTTGCTCCAGTACGGACTTGGCAAGACCCATGGCTGATACGCTTAGTATGGTCTAAAGTAGCCCGATTTTTACGATTCGAAAACGGAAATGTTTATTTTTTTATATAGAAGCTAACGTTTTATATTTAATTAAGAATAAATGATTCATTGAAGTATTTTTAGAGAAGAGTAAATCTAGTAGCTTGGTATTTTTAGAGAAGAGTAAGAAGATCAAATGATAGCGGCCACTCGGCCGGGCTCCCTGCTGTGTAGGACCCGGCCAGCGATCGGGCGTTTTTGACCTGCTTTCCAAAAAGGTCAATCAAGAAATATCGAAATAATTGACTACTTCAATGAATCATTTATTCTTAATTAAATATAAAACGTTAGCTTCTATATAAAAAAATAAACATTTCCGTTTTCGAATCGTAAAAATCGGGCTACTTTAGACCATACTAAGCGTATCAGCCATGGGTCTTGCCAAGTCCGTACTGGAGCAAATTTAAGTCTAGCGCGCTCGAGTTGGCCTACGTCCGCATAGTGACCTGCCCATACTATAGTTCTGTAGCTAACGACAGTACAGTGGGTGCCGACTAGCAATTAGTCGAACCTTTACCTATCTGAGGTCTAGGCTTCTGTGCTTGCCGTTGGATGCGAAATTACGCACTTGCTCTAAGCTTACTTTTTTTTCCGTGTATATAAGGGCTGCGTTCCCTTAGGAAGAGTCAGTCTAGTTTTGTACTTTAAACTAAGAGCGCATATTAAAGTATCTAAACTTTAAACCGAGTTCATAAGATCACTATCGCCCTTTCCCTGATTCCTCCGGTCGCGTCACTAAAGCCCCACGATACGACAAATGTGCTACATAACTTCGTATGCCGAAGATTTGATGACAAAATAATATGATCATAAATGAAAATACTAATTTTTAAACGTTTAATTAGTAAAATCGGTATTATTATCTTGTATTTATTTGAATTCGATATGCAATAATGATTAAAAAATGTAGATCTGAATATTTTTTAATATTACTTCTTTTTGACAAAAATAATAATTAAAAATCCAACCAAAAATTACTCACGCTACATGAAATTTAGCACAAAATTTCATAAAATAAGTACTACTTTTGGTATAAAAGTTGATCTGATATATGGACAAATTTTAATTTAAAAATTGTAGCTATCTACCTTTTTCGTTTAGCTCGGGCGTAAACGCCACACCGGACAAGAATATATACTTTCCCGCACTTGAATCATAATGTACTATTTTGATACTCTATGCGCAAAGTTCGTCTCCCGCACGCTCGGCAAAAAATGCGCATTGGAAATCGTACTTTCCACACGTCGTATTGAAAAATACGGTTTTCGCTTTGCTGCTCGGGTGTAAACGTCATATGAGACAAGAATTTACTTTTCCGCACTTGTATTGTAACGTACTATTTTTTGTAGGACGCTTAAGTCTAAGAAATATATAGGTGACCGTGACATTACTGAAATTTTCAGTTGACCCCTGTACTTCTTAGGAAAGAATACTATTATTTAAACACCACGACTATGGAATCATTGTTCGAGTTTTCAATGAGCGAGACACATTTTTTGCTCGTACTGTCATACTAAATTAAATAAAAATATTAAGAGTTTCAAGTCGGTATACCGTGCTTGTAGTTTATTAAGTATATAATTATGTATTTATTAATTTGCATTATATTATTATTTATCGAATAATTAATAAGAAAGTTATAATAAAGAGAAATTGAAACTTCAAATCAATTTGCAAATCATTTTGGTTATATACGACCTATATATACTTCTGCACTAATACTAACTAATTAAAAACCTTATATTATCCTATGTTAATCGATATTCTATTTACATACATTATAAAATATAGATTAATACTATAATATAAAACTTCTCTCACAATAAGTACTAATAGTCAATAATTTTAGGTAAAAAAGTACAAAAAATCCACTTGCTTATAAATTGATTTTTAGAAATAATTTTTTTTTTTTTCTTTTTCCCCGGGATATTTCTCTAGACTGATTCTATTAAAAACTTTTAAAAATTACGTAGGCATACATAATTTTCCGTGTGAAACATTGCTCTAACTTTTATTTTATGTCTATTTTACATATAGCACTAGGAAGATAAACTAAATAATTATTGAATGTATTTCGTGTATTTCATGTAAATGTATCTATTTAATATTCAATTAAATGATAACGTTCGACAATCATTGGTAATATATCACGGCAAATACTATCTTTCATAATTTTGAAAAGTTGAAGGCTTTTGTTAGAGCAAATCTATCAAGCATTACTTATTAATTTTTTGTTATCCGTCTTTAATTTCTCAGAAAATACATCACATATTTGCAAAGGACAGGCAATAAATATATATATATCATTATAATGTTAATATTTTGCACGCAAAAGTAACAAAAGAAAATGTGACAGGAATTTAATTGGTGTCGAATATTCATATTTTAAAAGACAAATAAAAATTCTCATCAAAGTCACTTGCAGTAGACACATTTATGCGCAAAAAATTGGAAAGCGATCACCGTATAGTAAAAGTGAAAAGCTTATTAAATGCTATCATCTAATAAGTAAAACAAACACTTTCGCATGCAGCCCACAAAAAAAAAATAATAATAGCCATAGGGATACCAGTTGAGATAAATGAAGTTGAAATTGTTTTCTTCTTTTTGCACCGAACTCAGAAATCCCAATAGAAGATATTACGAAAAAACTGGGAATTCCCATGTAGGTTGCCGGCGATCGGTTCGTGACACGCGTGCACCCAAAGTAACCAAGTAAACAGATTGTTGGAAGCGCACGAGCTCTCTTGCTATCTCTCTCTCTCTCCTCGTCTGTCGAGTAGTGGGAGACTAGTTTACCCTGGATAATCATCTCTTGTAAGATATATATAATATAAAACGCACAGTCGTCTCTCGCGTCTTCGGTTAGTCGGGCTCTCGTTACTCTCATCTGTCTTTCAGCGCTGTGTACTCGTGCGCGTGTGTGAGTGTGCAGCGCTAATCGTGTATGAATTTCTTGACCACGCTTTGTCATCGCCTATTCGACCTCGAACATACGAGCAAGTCAGCTATGGGTCACAAGGTCGGAGCGAGTTTGCTGCTTCTCGGAGCTGCTGTTCTTGCTGTCGTTCACGCTCGTACGTAATTTTTGTCTTAATTTGCACGAGCGCTTCTGCACGTCGCTTCGTATTTTTACTTTACCTGTGAATAAAAGGAAGCCCAATGATTTCCCCTAATCGATAGAATTGTTTTACGCGCAGATGTAACTTCCGAATGTTCCTTGAAGAAGCATTTTTTTCAACATTACAGAGGGCAACCAGTGTTACACGCCAACCAGGAGTATCGGTACCTGCATCAACGTGAAACTGTGTGCCCCGTTCATTAGTATATTGACATCGCCAAACCGTCAGCAATCTGATATTCAGCTCTTGAGAGACAGTCAATGTGGCTACGACGGTTCGATTCCGAAAGTCTGCTGTCCTGCAAGTGTACCTGACAGGAATACGCCGCAAGGTCAACCGAGTGGAAACTTCGGACAAGCAAGTAATTTTGGCCAAGATGGTAATTCGGGACAGCCGATGAACAACTTTGGGGAAGGAAACAGTTTTGGTCAGGGTAACAATTTTGGACAGCAGGGTAACAACTTTGGTCAAGGTGATAACAGCCACCTTCTACCTACCGAATGCGGTTCGGATTTGTCCAACAGGATCGTTGGTGGAAATATAACTGAAATTCATGAATTTCCTTGGATGGCCCTCCTCGAATACAGTAAACGTAAGTCATTATTCTGGGTACTTATTAATGTTACACATTATTATTATTGATTGCAACGATGTATATGTACAGAAAACTTGTATTCTCTGTTTTTTCTCTTCCTAATTGAGGAAACGTTGCGATATATATGCCACTTAACTATGGAGCTTGAAGCTAAAACGCGGAGATAATCATTTTTGTTAACTGCTGATTTCGATAGTGATATAAAAGAACCGCTGTATCTCGTCTTCTGCTTTACACTTTTAATAGCCTTACCAGCAGTTTTTCTTTATGCACATATACATTTACGCCAGAGAGTGTGGATGCGGAAAAAAAACAAATCGCCTTATCCGTCGTCTGCGTATTTATCAATGCCGATGGACTAAGTGTTATTATTTTCTAGTGCAACAGGCAAAAAAAATTGTAATAACTTTTATAATATATACGTAATCAATAACTTTTAAAAGGACAAAAAATGATAACTCGTATGTTTTGGGTTGCTTAAAAAAGAAATCAAAACGTCGTTTTACAAAATAATGGAAGAATGCAAAATTAAACGAATTTTGTTGTTGGAAATTGCAGCGGATGGCAGAACAACGTCTTGCGGTGGTGTCATAATTAACAAACGATATGTACTTACCGCTGCCCACTGCCTGAAAGGCAAAGATTTGCCAAGAACGTGGAAGTTGGAGTGGGTGCGGCTTGGCGAGTACAACACTGCGACCGAGCGCGACTGCGTGCCCGACGGTGACGAGGGCCAGAAATGCTCGGATCCTCCCGTCACCATAAGGATCGAAGAGCAAATTGTCCACGAGGACTACGCGCCGTATTCGGCTCACCAGCGCTACGACATCGCTCTGCTTCGCTTGAGTCGAGACATGCCGTACACCGATTACATCAGGCCGATCTGTTTGCCAGACAACTCGAATGTCGCCTCAAAATTGACGGCCGCAGGCTGGGGCAGAACCGAGCTTCGCAGTGGGTCCGACATCAAGCTCAAGGTCGCTCTGCCTCTCGTTGACTTCCGACAGTGCTCGAGGGTCTATCGCAACCACCAAGTTAATCTTGGCGAGGGACAATTCTGTGCGGGTGGTGAAAAGGGCTTCGACTCGTGCAGAGGTGACTCCGGTGGCCCAATTATGATGCGAGAAAAGGAGGCGAGGCCCAGGTGGAAGGTCGCTGGCATCGTCTCGTTTGGTCCTGCGAATTGCGGTATGGAGGGTTTCCCGGGTGTCTACACCAAAGTCTACGACTTCCTGCCGTGGATTATGGCAAAACTCAGAGCTTGAGACTTATCACTTTAACTTTAGTCTGTAACTGCCTGCTTGGCTAAATCAAATTATACTCCGTCGCTCGTCAAACCGGTTTCTCGATTTTTAACCCACGGACAAATTCAACTCGACGCAGAACTTTATACTTGTGATATTTTTTACTTCATCACTTAGCTAAATATAACGTAGCATGATACTGTAATATTTTATACGTGCAAAATCACGGACGTGAAACGTTGTAAAATTTCCGACGTATAATGACTTTGTAATGACGGCATGAAAATAAAAATCATTGTTTTTGATAATGAAGCACATATTCATTGAACTGATTACTTTATTTCTTAATTACTTAACATGACCTAACATTCACGATGGAAAATATAATTTTATAAAAAGATAATTTATACAAAACTAAAAGCTCGCAACATCGGCTTTATTAAACCTTTCTAAGTAGATAACGGAACCTAAGATAAATATGGAAATGCCTCTTCAGTCGAGAACACATAAAATTCGATCTTTATGCTTAAGATAAATTGTCATCTTGCCTTTTTCTATGCCATGATAAACCCGAAAACTACTTACGATATGAGTAAATAAGTCAGATTCGACGGCCTCATTATAACATGACAAGAAAACGGCACGGGAGATATAGTAAAAGAGAAAAAGAGATTGGGAGAACTTGCATGGAAAAAGAATAAAGAAACTGGTTTCTTTAATAAGGTAAAATATGAGTAATACATACGCCATAAATATCGGTGAGATAAGATTCACTTTGAACAAAAACGACACATCACTACTGGTGATAATTGGGGAATAAAGTATGTTTATATAAAATATTATCCTTTCCAGAATATTTTATAATGTTTATTTTACATTTTTAACTCGTGTCAATATTTCTTCATTATTGAATGGAATTTTAACTTGCAGCTAACGCTTATTACGCGCAGTTATTAAAAATGTAAAAAATTAAAAATTTTAATATACGTGAATGTATTTGCGTTAATAATACTTGATTTCTAATAAAGCAAAAGAAGCAGATTTCGAGAATACTATTTTATGTTGAAATATATTATATTCATTTATAGGTACTAGTTACAAAGTTGTAACAATTGTTCTAATATATGATTCTTTCCCAAATTATGCACTTGTACCTTCGAATAACTTTTTTCGTGGCAAATGCTTCCAGCACACTTTAATAACCGAATAGATGTGACTAAAATAGTAGTTCGACGGCTCATTATTTGGGTAAAGACAGCTTTACAAAAATTACTAAAAGTTTTTACCAGACAATGTCAATATAACGGTCGATTTCCGTTATTTTTTATAGTATACTTTAGTTTAAAATAAAGTTTCCTTTGTCTAAAAGATTGAGCTACGTAACAACTATTTTACATCTAAATAGAATACATATGGAACTTACTAAATTTATGAGTAAAAACAATTGAGTATATTGACAAAATTAATCTCAAAAATTGAAATAAAATCATACAGATCTTAAAATGATTGTTTTTGTTTTTTTTTTTTTTATAAAAAAGATATACACTAATTCTAATTTATAAATATATACAAGAAAAAGAAGTTTCATAGCCATCGATAATCAATAAAATACAATATCAGAAATATAAGAACAGAAAAATATTCAAATAATACAGTAATAAAGTTATGAATTTGGTATTTTAAATTTACATACTAATTTTCTTAAAAAACTTAATTTTTTAAAAATGCTGAAACGACTGGCCTGATTCGTTTCGTACTGATTCAAATTCTACATAATTTGATTCTAATGAATTTTTTAATTTCGATTATTTAGCATACATCTTCGATATGTATAATTTTATCAATTATTATTTTTCTGCAGAAATATCGTACACAGAATACTTTTGGTCGATTCTTTTTCTATAGAATTTTTCGTGGACAGTGTACATGTTCAATAGAATCTTATTAGAATAAAATTCATGCCGAATCGGTATCTGTACGAAACGAACTCCCTCCAACGATAGTTGACATTATAATTACCATACATCAATAATATCTTATAAAAAATTTTAAATAAGTTTTGCTCCATGATACGCATTTACTGAACAAAATAAAGGTAGTAAAATTAATTCCCTCCCTAGCTATTTTAAATGCAGTATATCTTAGTGGTGGAGTTTTGGTAAAATTTTGACTAATCGGTTCAAATTGACCTTGCCTTATTGCAATTTATTGAATTACAATAAATGAAATTAAGATGACAATAAATACATTCACGTCAGCATTAATATACAACATGTAATGCAATGAAAATAGATACAAAAAAAATTAATATTTATTGAATAATTAAGATATCACAAGTTGCTTAAAAATATTCAAGTCAACGCATCGACATATAGTATCAATATTTTTGATCGCGTCTTAAAATAAAAAAAGGTTAAATTTTATACGTGGAAAATGTAGAGATAATATTAGTTTACAAACTTTGTAAATTTATTGTAGAATAGTAAAAAAATTATAAAATATCATAGTTCCTAGTTAGAATTAAAAAGTTTAATGCCGAGATTGCGCATATTGCAGAATGTCTGCATAGAATATAATATTTCTGACGTTCTACCGGGCTAACTATGTTTTCTTTCATAGTATAATCTTTTCCACGCATTTTTACATTGTTCCTCTCAATATAATATGCGGATGTCATAGAATAATATCTCATTATCAACGAGGCTTATTGATCACCTCGAGTATCCTGGGCATATTAATTCTTCAATTTCCATTACCGAAAGTGTTGTGTTGCTTTTGAGAATATAAAAACAACCTTGTAATAAATTGCAAATAACTAAAACACGATATTCGATTTCTCAACATCGAATAAAAGTTAAGTAAATAATATTATCTTACTTAGACCTTTTACCTAATAATATAAGATCCGGGTTTAACAAACAGGCAGTGTCTCTAGTATTATAACGGCGCCATTAAATTCTAAACTAAAGTAACTACTTGCGCTTACCAGTGACTATATGTACCTCATTCAATTGTAAATAGTACACTGACAGTTAAATGAAACACAACGAAATCCATGAGAGAATTATGTTGATTGAATTTAAGAATATTTTTTTCTTTATTAAAATAAGTTCTTAGTAGCTAATAGTCTGCCTGAAGATTGCAAACGAAAATTTCGAGTTTTTCGCGAATTGCTTAACTAAATCTTCAGCTATAGCTTTTTTGTCAGTATAAATATTAGGATGACCTTTAAACAATATTTTCAAAACTTCCTCTGATAGTTCAGATTCATGGTTTTCGACTGCCTCTATTGTTTTATAGATAGACAGTCTTCAAATCGGTAGGTGTCGCGTAAAGTTCTTCTCTGATATATTTTCTGTAATAATGTGAATATCCGAAAAGATCGAGATTTTCACAATTATAAACGAACTCTAACATTTGCTTAGTGCCAAGAATCTATACATAAAACATTTACATTTTTTATAATTATGCATTTATCTTTATCGGATGATCTCAAATAATCAGCCATCAAGCCGCGTTTCAACATTACCATTTATTTGTGAAAATTGGAAAGTTTTCATTTTAACAGAACAAAAACCTAAAAAACAGATCTATCAAATTAAACAAACGCAAGCTAACAAGTAATAGACAAGAAATGTAAGAAGTTTCAACGTAAATCCATTTTTCTCAAATTCCGAAATTTAATCAAAATTTTTCAGCATACCTCATTTTCAAAATCTTTCTTTGTCTGATCCTTCAAAGAATGCTTAGTTCGCTCTCACATTAATAGATAAATTTGCTTGTCGTTGGAACAACTTCTCAATAACATTTCCAATAGATTATTTTTCCCAGGTAATCTGTTACAATAATAATGAACAGATTTCGTCCGGCAAAATATTGCCTGATTTCACTGTCTCTTTAATTCAATGGTCACTGAATATCACTTTCAATGGGCTTATAAATTTGGTTGATTAATGAATCAATTTTTTAAAGATTCATTGCTTCACTTAAAACATAATATACAAAATATCCCATCAATTATTCTAGACACACACTACATTGAAAGGAACTGGTGATCGCGCTTTTTTCGTATATATTTTTTTTCTCTAAAAATAAAATAGTTACTTACTCTTTGGAGTGCGCGCCTTATAATAGACATTGAATTCCATGATATCTCAACTTCAGGAAGTTAAGAATTTATTTACTAAATTTTGTAGATAACCTTATTTGCGTATTAGCAGACGCATTTCATTTAAAAATTAAAATATTACAATTTTATAAAATTTGTAAAATTCAAATTTGTTATCAATTCAACTAAGAGTTAATATATATTATCAAGCCATCTAGCTTCAGTTATAATTATCAACCAAGTCAAATTCATTGTAAAATTCTAATCTTTGTGGTAAATGACTCATAAATATTTTAAACATTCCTTTAATTTCTAAATCAATCTATACTAGGCATTTAGTAAAGAAAAGTGTACTCATCAAATTCAGAGAAGTTTAGGATAAAAAGTGAAGTGTCTAGCAACAAAATAAATAGAATGCTACAAATAAAAATACAATCTTGAATATAATAATTCTATATATTTTTAGAAGAGCTCGATAAGTCACTTGTTTTGAGATAGACTTATCTAATTTTGGTTGTCAAAAAACATTCACACAACTACGCGCTTTATTCGTAGTTTTTTTTCTACAACGTCAAAATAATCCACTCGGCATTTTCGACAGTTTAACCGCGATTGTATTTGAATTTCAATACAATAAAGATAAAGTAGAGCGAATTCCGTCTAGAAATTTCTAGAAATATTCATACAGCTAAATAGAGTTGGCAATGAGCAAAATTTGCAAACGAGACGAAAGATACGGTCATTCATTTTGATGCGGACTAATGTAAAAGATTAGTCGCCCTCCAAACTGAGTTCAATAATCGCGAACTGTAAATGTCACTGATACGCTTGAAAAATGAGTGGAAAACCAAGCGGTAGAGATAGCTGATCATGCTCTAATTTAACTCAAATCAAGCAGGTCAAGTGTCAGCTATCGCCTTATTTGTTTTTCTCTTAGTTTATCTTCAGGCTTTTATAATAAAGTTGAATATTTAGACATAATATAGTTTTTTTTAAATTATAATACTAGTTATTTATAAATTTATAAGAATTTTAGCACCATTCAAATGTAATGTTTTGCTTTGAATCTTTTATCATCACTTTTTTCACACCGATTATTGTGGCATAAATATTTTCTGGAATTTATATTTTCCACGTATATATTATAACAATAACATTTTCTAAAGCAGGGGTAGATATAATTTCATAGTTGAATACAAATATTCGTTGCATAATCATAGAATGCGAATCATTTCACCATAACTATTACCACACTGATGCACTTAACACTGTATCAAAATTTTTTAGTACATCTTTCCTCATTTTACCTTAACTCTTTTCAAATACCTAAAATCTTACAATCTTACCATTCTGTAAAATCACTGTTTGGAACTGAAAATAATCAAATAAACAATATTTAAAACGGAATATAACGTATATCAATTCACACACGTACACCTGAAGTTTAAAATTGTCGTGAGGAGAGGGGCACTAAAGGAAAGCGGTAGTAACACGAACGATTTTGTTTTTAAACATCATTATACTTTGATGAAAAGTAATAAACTCTTAGAAAACCATTATGTATTATAAGTACAAGAAAATAAATTACTAAGTTGTACATACAACTATTTGTTATTGTCATGTTAGTGTACACAGTAATACGAATCGTATGAGATGCAAATTTAAATGAAAACAAAAATTTTAAATTGTGCATAATATGTACTCAAAATCAACAAGGAATTTTTTTTTTCTTTTCTTTATATCTTGGATTATGGTATTATTTATTTATGTAGGTTACCAAATACGACTGGGAGCTTCCTGCGCACGATGGGGGCAGACACGGCAGTGTTTAGAAAGGTAGATGGCATTTGGAAGGACTGATCCACCACTGGTCTGGTAAGGACAGGAGACGTGTGACTGACACTCCTACTTATTGGGGTGGTGCTAGCCTTGGTAAATTCACCCAAGCGCTCTAGTTCATTTATGGTACTCAGTATGGTCGCCTTGAGTGTCTGAGTTGAGTCAATTATAGCCCCTCTATGTGAGGCAGTCAATCTGTTTATATCCCTCCTCATGACTTCAGTGAAGTCTCTCAACCCCTCCTGATATGACTTTATGCTCTATATTAGCTCAGTCATCTTGGTGCTGATGGTTTCCATCAGAGCGCCTCTGTGTGCTTTCGGATAAGTAAATTCATATGGGAGGGCGAGGGATTCTGCTGCCTCAGGATCTCCATTGAGTGCTTGTCTGAATCGGGCAGTGGCCAAGTGATTGGAGGCTATCATGAAGTCCTTCATGGCGTCTGCGTTGGACTTGTCCCGGGGATAGTACTTCATAAAGTGATTGGCAGATAGTCCGGGAGGAGGGGTGGTGAGCCCCGACCAGCTGTCGGCATACCATAAACCCAGCTGGAGTGCAAAGTCAGGGGGAGGGGTAGTTGTCTCTCTCTTCAGGTATCGGAGCATCTCCTCGCTCATTGTGTACCCCCTTAAGGGTTGGGGGAGAGAGCGGGAATCGGCCCCCACCGAGTCCACTGTCACCAGAGAGTCCTTGGATATTAGGGCTTGCAACCCTCTATCCTCTATCTCCCTCAGTGCTTCTTCCATTGGGTCCTCTTGGTGCATGCTGTCCTTCTTGGTTTTCCCTTTGGTGGTCTTGGTATGGCTTGCTGAGTCTCTTGTCGGAGGGGCTGATGTGACCACCCTAGGAGAATTGGTTGCCCTGGCGGACCTCCTAATGCTGGATTTCTAGATATACACAAATAATAATTTAGCTTTAAAATAATCATTAAAAATAATTTATTGATTATTGAAACGTGAAAATACTTCAGAGCATATAATTTTTTTAAATTATTAAAGATTTATTTCATTCAATTCAAGACTATACAAAGATGAATGACATTCATAAATAATAAGAAAAAACATTCGTATCTCGGGCTGAATTTCAGGTGAGCCCTTCTTCTTAGATGACTGTTTTATAATTTATACTTCTTTGCTTAATTGTTTTTATAACAAAAATTCTTTTATATAGGCAAACGAAAATATTAATATGTACATGTTTATTTACATACAAGCTAATAAAAATTTTGTATTTCGAGAGTTTGATTACTTAAATTGATAATTCCGCAAATAATTACACTTATATCATCTACATACGGTACCATGTCAAAAGGGATAGGTGATTGAAAAATTTTGAACATTTTGAATCTCCTATAAGCATTCTCTATGTGCGTTTCAATTATTGCTTTTGAATGAACTTTGAGAACAGCTTCTGGGCAAAAAGGCTTTTCTTTCCGTTTTTTAATACTTTCGATAAAAACTCTATTGCATGCCTCTTCCATGAAAAAGCCATCAGTCATTATTGCATCTCGACTAGGAACTAATACTTTGGAAATATAAGTCTCATCAGTAATCGTTTCATTTGAAGTACGCCCATGAATAGCTGTGCTTACATAAGTAATTAAGCCGGTCTTAGCAAAACCTAGTAAAATTTTCAAATATGCAGACTTATCATTGATCAAAACATATGGTAGTCGACATTCAGGGCACATTAATTTTTCAATTTCAATTTCAATACAGTCTAAAACAGTAACAGTTTTTTTAAAACTATCTACGGACTCTGGCATTATTTTCATGATCTCATCTTTCGTTGGCCAGTATATTGCACTTCTTAGAATAACTTTCAAAATCGGTATTGTTGAATAAAACACTTTCTTACAAGTTTGCTCATTAAGATAAAACAAACTACCAAGAGAAAGGAAACTAAAGTTCAAACGAAATTTTATAAAACAAAGTATTATCCTCTCTGTCAGTTTCAGTTCATGATTATCTGAAAAATCTTTTTCACATATGGTCATAGCTTTCTCCAGATCATTTAATAATTGAGTATCGATTCCAGTGTAAAAATGTAATTGATAATCATTTTTAATCAGTGAATTGATTGTTGTTTTATAATATCTCCTCGCTGTAAGATAAAATTCTTCTCCTACTTTCAATGCAACATCTTTCATTGCAAAATTGATCTCATTATTTTTTATCATTTCATAAACCCTTTCATTCAATTCAACTAATACTTTAGCAGCACGAATTTCTGGACTATCAAAAGGGTTTTTTGATTCAATCTTCTTACACTTGCACACAATATTTGAATAGTTGTGATCTAAATTTGGTTTCACTAAATTAACCTCTTGTTCAACCACAATTGGCTTTTTTTTCTTAGTTGCTTCATTAATATTTGATTTTGGAGCATTAACAATATTTTGACTCCTATTTTCAGTTTCATTATCAACTATTTTCTGTTTTTCTGTTGCATCTACTTTGAAATCACTATTTGCTTTTGAAATTATTTTAGTATTTTTATTTTGTACTTTTTCCTTCATAGCCATTAACATATCATACCTACAATAAAATAATATATGTTATGCAGTCTATGTATTCTGTAAATCAAATTTGGAATTAATTATGCAACAAACCTTGGATCCTCTCTTTGTAGTCTTTTAGCAGCCCTTTCAGCCCTTTCTTCTGCTCTTTTCAACTGTTCAGGAGTTAATTTCTTGGTGGATGGTTTTGAAGGTAAATTTTGTGATGGTACTGCTATAGACTTCAATCTTTTAAGTTTTCTGTCCCATCCTAATAACATAAAAGGAGAAAATAATTTTATTTAAATTTTGTATATGAACTTATATTTGTTTCAGATTAATTGCCTATATATATATATATATATATATATATATATATATATATATATATATATATATATATATATATATATATATATATATATATATATATATATACATACACATATACATATACATATATATATATATTTCTTGAAAACAAATAAAAAATGACACTCATCTATATAATTTTTATGAATAATAATTTTTTCAATAAAACAACAAAAAATTAATTTGTTATTTATTGTATTTCTTGTAAATAAGTATGTTTTTTTACAACAAAAATATAGACATGTAGTATAAGTATATCAATAATGAATAAAGGAAAGAAATAAAAATATAAACAGAAAGATTATAACCTAATGTATATTAGGTTATAATCTGGTAATTAGTTGAACATTTTTATGATATTTTCAATACTTACGTGGTATGAAATCCGTAGATAAAAAATGGTCATTGCATACAACTGTATAATTATTAATATTTCTTTTAAGTTGACAAACTTTTATCCATTTTTTTCGTAGCGTAACATCCCGTGGAAATCGGTGCAATGACTCTGCACTGTTTCTCTTAGTACACTGTGGAACACTACAATATCTTTTCAGTCTTTTTTTCTTTTCCGTTTCTTTTTGCCCGGCTTCATTTTTCTCAGATTTCTCTTCTAAATTTTCCGATTTTTCCATGCTAATGTTTACTTCGTACTCTCTAGAAGTCAGTGTTCGGATTCGATCTTTTATATCGATAAAGAAATTTCGATATAGCTACGATTCGAGCAACAACTTGAATTGTAGTTACGTATTATGCGGTCTGAATGTTTTAGCGGTATAACTTAGCTTTATATGAAATTTTCCCGCTCTTACTCTGAATCAGAGCTCCGAGTTACTATTTAATAAATATATAATTTTTTACATGGTGTTTGTAAAATTTCAAAATTTGAACAATTTACTACCCATTCATTTTCATTTTATTATAATAAACAATGATTAGTATGCTATTGCTTTTATATCAAAAATATAAAATTTATTCCAAATTATTTATAATTATAAATGATTATTATCACACACTAATTTTTTCCTCTACATTACGCTTATTTTTATGGAAACGTGAACACATCTTTAATAAATAACTGACATGTAATAATGATGTCCATACGAAGAATTCTAATTTAATTTATAAAGTATTTCAGTATATTATCAGAATACTAAGGAACTAGAAAGTTATATAGCTAGTAGTTACAATTTACAATACGACCTGAACTCACTTCTCGTAGCCATACCATATCAAAATTTCTTTTCGTTACAATAAGGATCGAATCCGAACACAGCTTTCATGATCCATTCAAAATGTCACGCTTGCGGTTCTCCAACCATCAATCGTCATATTAATTTGTTGCAACATTAGACTACAGATACTACAGGTCTTTAATGTTAACATTTAAATTCAGATTTTTTTGGGAAAATCAATAAACAAATTATACAATTACATAGTTCATCAAATAAGATAGAACTTTTTCTGGTGCTAGGATTCACAACATATATTGTTTTTTAAAGGATTAGTTGTAGACAAACTAACATATGACAGGGTAAAAAGTTGTAGTTTATTTAATGAACTATCTAATTGTATAAATCGCTTATATTAACCCAGATAACATCGTGGTGGCACGTTACCGTCAGAATGCAAGCACGGCATGACTTTCATGCCGGCACAATGACGGCCAAGTACATACATCCGCATCGGGACAGCATTATGCGAGCACACCGTGGAAGTCACGGCGTGCGTCTATAATACCAGCATTGTGCCAGCGTAGATGAATAATATAATTTTTCGCGGCGTGCACGAAAAAAATTATTTCTAACACATATAAATCAATAAAATTCAGTTAAAAGAAGACATAGATTTAAGTAAGAATGATGTTACTCCAAAATTGTTTTTTGGGTTGCCTGATAAAGTAAAGAATCTTATTAGAAATTACAAAAGAATAGACAAACTTTATGGTATGTATATTTTAACTTTAACATTTTATGTATATTAATATGTATATTAAACTTTAATATTTTATGAATGATTATAATAAAAAATTTTTTATATGTGTAATTATTTCTTTTAGATTGGCAGGAAAAATGTCTAAACATGAGTGCAATAGGTGAAAGAAAGAATCTCATTTATGCTTTACCAACAAGTGGTGGTAAAACTCTTGTGGCAGAAATATTAATGCTTAAAGAAATTGTGTGTAGAAAGAAAAATGCAATGTTTATTCTTCCATTTGTAGCATTAGTCCAAAAAAAAGTAAAAATTTCTACAGTTTGTTCAATTATCTATATGCATGTCTTTATATAGTATATTTATTTTAGATTCAATCAATGACACCTTTTGCCTTAGAACTCAATTTTCTCATTGAAGAATATGCAGCGTAAAAAGGTCATTACCCACCAAGGAAAAGAAGAAAAAAAAATTCGTTATACATGTGTACAATAGAAAAAGCACAAACAATTATAAATTATTTTATTGAACTGAATCGACTAGATGAGGTGAGTCAAATTAATTTTTAATAATTTTTTCTATTACTATACTTAAGATGTCTTATGTCTTTCAGTTGGGAATTATTGTAGTTGATGAGTTACACTTATTAGGAGAAAACGATAGAAGAGGAGCTACTTTGGTATGTTTATTAACAAAAGTAATATTCTCTGAACGTAAGAGTTGTATCAATATTTTTGAACAGATATTGCATTTTATCAATTTTAAAAATTTTATCTTTACAAAACTTAAGTTATATATTATTTTTAAACAGGAAATATTTAAATAATTGGGATGAGTGCAACAATTGGCAATTTAAGAGAGATAGCTAGGTTTTTAAATGCAGACAAAATTTCAGACCAATTGAGATCAAAGAGTATGTACAATGTGAAAATTCTAAGTGGCTCATCGATAAAAGAGAAGAAAACATGTTTACTAGAGAGAAAAGAATTAATTATCAGGTATACTATTTTACATGAATTGTGATTTGTTTTTGAGACTTACATCAACATCTGCTGATTTGTTGTCATAGTCAAAACTAAAATTGCTACTGTTATTTACAATATTGTCATTGTAAATAACAGTATTTCATGTGCTAGTATTGAATGCACCAGTGTGCAAAACCATATTTACTTTCTTATCGTGATTATAGAATTTCAACAGATGTGATTTATTATTGCAATGAGCAGCAAAACTATATATAAATAGTAAACATGGTTTTACAAACTCGTGCCTTAAATATTAACACATTCAATACTGATATTGCAAATAACAGTAGTAATATTGGTTGTGATTATAAAGATGAATTACCAGATTTTGTTACTATTATGAAAACCAAACTACAATGCATGATAAAAAAGTAACTTACAATAATATTACTTATGAGATCTTGTTGCTTATAGAGTAACACCGTAGTATATGATTGCTATAATAATTAAGCTATGATAACTTTATCAACATTATAAATCACTTTATTGTCGTGGATTGTGTTTTGTTTTTGATACAAACACTAACATCTGGTAATTCGTTGTTTGTAATCACAAATAATATTTCTACTTTTATTTACAATGACAGTCTTGAATGTACTAGTCTTCAATGCACAAGTTTACAAAACCATATGTACTTTTTCACCATGATTGTAGCAAAACTATATCAAACTTTGATTAGCCTGAGTATGCACTTAATTATGAAAAATCTAAACTATAGAAAAACAATTTCATTTTTTACCTTATTTTATACTTGCTTATTTTATAAACTATTTTGTACTATTTAATTATTCGATACAAAGACTAATATTTCATATATCACAGTTATCACAATTTAAATAATTATTTTATCCTCTAGTACAATTTTTAAGAAAAATGTTAATAATCTTTATATTTACTTACTTTTATTTCAACTGCGACTCCACTACACAGGGAACACTCTCACAATAATTTTACGGTTTAATATCAGTCACAATTAGTATTTTTAATTACTTTCAAAGCAATCACAATTACTGGTAAAAACGTTAAACGTTTTAAGAGAACGATTTTCAAAAAAAGCGTTATTAATCGATGACGATCGAACGTATATGTATTGATATTCAAATTTGTATTTTGTATACAATAAAAGAAATTATAACATAGAAATAAAGACAGAGATATATATTTAATATATTTTTATTGTCAAATAAATTATTTATTTTATTAAAAATACATAAACATGGAAAAATAATCAACCCACGTCGTAATGCCTATTCGAATTTTATTTTTTTGCGTGACCGCAGAATGACAGCATTCTGACGGCACGGCGTGCGGCGCTTTTCGTGACGAGCACGCGCATGCCGAAGTAAAGTAAAGTAAAGTAAAGTAACCGTGCCGGCACGCTATGTTATCTGGGTATAATATTCTTAAAACTGTAAGATCCAGCAACAGTCGATAAGCGTAGAATAATACCTTACAGTCGGCAAAGTAGAAAACTCAATTGAGTAGTGTTACCTTTGAAATAATACGCCAACTTTTGAAAATCCGTGAACAGAATAGCAACTATTTATTCCGCAGTAAAATTGATTGATATGAAAAAACTGACTACTCTGTAAAATTACTATAAACGTTGAATTCAGCCTAACGACCTTGAATTACGTCTTCAAAAAAAAACCAACGACAATACATATTTAAGTATCGGCAACCTTGACTAAGAGAGAATAAAATGCGTGAGAATGTTAGGCAGGAAGGGATTGTATTGTCTACTATCGTGCTTAGCAAACAAATACGAGGAGGCGCACGACGCGAGAGCGATGAACAGGAAAAATGAAAGGCACAGCGGTTTAATCGATTCAACCTTCTGCTAGACAAGAGCAATAAGGAGCGCGCGCGAAGGATAGAAGGAGAGGCCCAAGCGGAAATTAATTATGTTTGTCCGATTTCGGGTGGGGGAGAGATGATATCGAAATAGAAATGTAAAAAAAAGAACGCGTCGCTCCGCCCACGCGCTAAAAGCCGCACGCGCGATCCGATGTGTGCAAATCAGCTGGGCATTCGAGTATCAACGCAGTGCTTTTCGCGTTCCCTTTAAAACTTTCATTTTTTTTTATTCTTTCGTTTCGTCTGATTTTACTTTGGAAACCGAAGTCGAACTAGTTTCTGACGATCAAATTTTCAATTTGTGTCAGTAAAGGATCGAATTACGCGGTGTATAAATAATTGACAAACTGTTAGTATCAAATATTATCTTTTCGTGAATATATTTTACGAGGTAAAAAGAAGCTCTAGGAGCATCGTGTATTTCTAATTGCATGTATTGCGAATGCATATCAATACTGAATATTTCCATACGCGAAGCTGTTTTGCATTGTGTCGCGTGTAAACGTCCGATCGGCATCCGTACCACAGGTCGCTGCCGCGACCCTTGACTTCGTATCTTCGTATTTGCTTTTTTCCAAATTGGAAAAATTGTATATTGCAAAGAAACGATCAAAGTTCAATGTAATTCAAGCTCAACGATGTAAATCTGTGAAAACTCTTAAATAATTTTATTACACATTGTTTGTCACAAATTTGTCTCGTGCGATCCGATACGCTGAGAATTTACTTTGACAAAAATGATAGTATTTTTTGAAACGAGGAGTTTGACAAAACTAAGGACACACCAGAAACATTTGGAAATGTGGAAAGCGTGTAATCAACAAAGAATAGAGTATAATTGGGCATTCAGCCGTTGATTGTCCTCTCGCGGTAAAGCCATAATTTTCAATTTTGAAAAGCGCACAGTAACAAGATTGCTCTTTGGCCGCAATTATACAAAGAGCCAAACAGCAGTTACCAGTCCGTGGTTATTGGGTTCCCATTGAGGCGAGGAGAGCCGCACAAGTCGAGACCTGCGCACGGGGCTTATACCTGCGCGGAGAGAGCGCCGAAGGTGCGCGCGCCGCCGAGATTAACAACACTTTACTACCTGCTTCCGCGCATCGCACCGCGCTTCTGCGAGAGAGCGCAAACAGGATTAACACATGTTGTTTTGATCGCTGGTACGGACGAGCTTACTCCGTCCCTCCTCCCGCCCGCAGCCCCGAGCACACACACACACACACACGCAAACAGTTACCTGCGTGCGCGCATCCACCAAATACCTTGACGACACAAAGCATCGAGGATGAGTCAGACTGCTACTGAGGCTGTTTGTTTCCGTTATCGGCTCTCTTTTCTCCTCGAGACTCGAGCAAACATCTTTTCACTCTCTGTTCCTCCGCGACAGTGGGACGAGCGCGTAAGAGCGCCGATGAGAGGTAATCGAGAGGCTTTCCGACTAAAAGAGAGATTTCTCGGAAGGGCCTGGATGGGCAAAACCCTAAAATTAAGATTAGGCACTTGGGAGGCGGCATTGCGTGATTTTTGGCAATGAACGTGTAGGTTTTCCCGTCCTCGGCATCTATACCTCTACGTATCAACTCGAAATAATTTAACGATATTACAGTTGTTTATTCCATTACTGTTCTTCTGCTCGACCGAACGCTTATATATTTTTCTGCGTACGAACTATCATTATTGATACGAGTGGTAAATGTTTGTTATTTTGTTGTAACCAACTGATAGAGCTTGTGCATATTCAAGTATAGTTCGGATCGAAAAATCCTATAGCATTTAGTCATTGAAAAACTATAATGCTGTGTCACAACGTAAGAAGCACTCGAAAGAAATAAAAGACTTTGCGGATAAGAACTACAAAAAGCCGATTAATGGTTTTTAAAAGAAGTTTTTCAATTTCGGTAATTTTTTATTTCAAATAAAGCATTAAGCAAAAGCCATGTTTCTTCTTTAATATGAGATTAACATTTTCTTGGAATCCCTTTTTTTATTGAAACGATAAAAGTTGAAGTGCTTTTAAAGAAATATTGATAATAAAGTAGGTAAAATTGGAGTAGCTCGTAATTGTGTGTCTATATGATAGTGTAAGGCGGAGAAAATTGGGTCGTCCCCAATGGAGACTATAGTGTGTATAGTTTCCAAGGTGGTCCTATAGAGTGTAAAAGACGGAGAGTGGCGCCGAAAACTACCGCGCCGTAGTGGAAAACGTGGGTGTGAGCGAGAGTAGAGTTTCCAATCTCAAATTTGTGGGCCTTGCGGCCCGTTTACCGTCAATCCGGAGAGAGACCCGACTGCGTGACGACATACTACGTCCGTTACCGTGAAGAGGGTATCCTTTGCGATACTTTTAAGCAACGTAAATAAATACGCCTACACTCTTTTATGTAAGCGTCTATCTTCGTTGACTGAAATTATATTTGCTTTAGTTACGAATAATCATTCGTCTTATTATTAAAATGCATATTTGTTTAATTGCAAAAATAGAAAATTAACACTTGTATTTTGGTTAATTACAAACGTTGGTAAACGGGATTACAGCGGAACTACAAAGTTATCTTCGATCACGTGTTTAATTGAATTGACAACGGTTTAAAAAAAATGTTTATTTTCCGCAAAGTACACGCGTGAGAGTAATTAAAGAGAAAGCAAGTAATTAATTGATTACTTTTAGTTGTGAAGTACAGTTAACTGCGCCAAAAATCTATTTTTATATAGGAATGAAAATTTCATCGATATATCATTTTCATACCTTTACTGAATTAAAGATTCCATTGAACGTTACTGACGTTGTTAAAAAGACAATCATTCTATCCTGCACGCAATCAAATAAACCTATTGAATAAATGGCAAACAATCAATGCGTAATTGGCTAAAACAATGTAACGTGCAGACAATCGATCGAGAAAAGAAAATATATGGTAAAACGTCAGAGCCCTAGCTTGCGCGCGATCTGCGTCGTGTAACATGCAGCAGCCATGCGGCGGCATGTATAGATCGGGGCCATGGGTGTGACACTCCACTCTTGCAGGGCATTGTTGCGTATACGAATGTGACATGCACGCGCGCCGGAGGTTAAGTGCTCCTTCCTGCGATAAGATCGCCAGGAAACGATACGCACGTTCTCTTTCTCTCTCTTTCTCGTCGCCACAGAGAGAGAGAGAGAGAGATAGTTATGCGACTGCCGCTATTGCAGCTCAAGGTCGCCGCTAATACATGCCAACGCGCTACTCTGATTCTTTGATTTTTGTCTTTTCAGCGATCCCTGAATTTTGTTGCTACTCTGCATGCTAGTGATACACACTCCAATCGTAAACCGATTTTGAATAATTTCACTCGAACTCATTGCCGTTTACGTCGAAATAACAATTTTTAAGCAAATCAAGTCAATGTGATGCAACATGCATTCAATCATTTGTAAGAGTTCGGACTTTTCCTCTTTTCTTTTTTACAAATATACAAGTCAAGTGTTTCAATTAAAACAAACACTCAAAGTATTTCAGCTCTACTAAGTCGTGCTCTCGCATGAAAGTCATTTGTTAGAAAATGGAACTGGTAATTGTCAAAGATGAAAGCGGTCACACCTACACGCCTGAATATATATGTATACTCGTAACGCAACAGCGGCAAGTGTAACTTCAATATAGTCAAGTATTTGTTCATTCGCCCGGAAGAGCTAATCACATTATTCATTATTGATGACGCAATAAAGTTGAAATATTAAAGAACAAAAGAAATCGGAAAGAAACTAATCAGTCAATCGATAAGTATTAACCAGAAAGTTGGTCAATTATATAAAAGAAAAGAACAGCAATTGTGCAGAAGCGTTTTGCATAGCGTCAGTATCTCATTGCTCAGCGTTCTAATCTATAAAGCTCTCCCACACGCCTGCAGAGCCAGCAAGCGCGCATACATATATAGGTATACGCTGAAGGAAGAGCAACTCAACTCCTCACGGCGGCCCCCAGCTGGAGGCTCGACGTTTTACGTAGGTGTGTTAGCCGCTGCCGCCGCGTGAAAGAGAGAAGGAGGAAGAACGGTCCAAGTAGAAAAAAAAGGACAAACAATAAATGAGCCGCGCGCTCTCGGGGAACCGAATAGATACGCAAAGAGAGAGAAAGATGCAAATGAGGAGCCCCGGAGTTTAACACGCAGATTGACGGAGCTCGAGACGAAGCTGAATGGGTATAAGGAAGAGAGAGAGAGAGAAAGTGTCAAAGTAAAAAGGAAATGAGGTACTAGATGCTAATGTAATATTGCGAAAAAAAGAAAAAACTTCGTTGAAGAAACTGGCTGTGCCAATTCGTTATCCGAAAAAAGATTTTCGAAATTGCACCGCCGCCAACTTCATCAATAAAGAAAACCTCTTTTCAGAACATTATTTATCTGCGTGTATGCATAAAATATGAAGTTTTGGAGCAACGCACGCAGGGAAAAATAAAGCGAGATAAGTGAAACTACACGAGAGCAATCAAGCGTTAATGCAAATCTTGAGAGCCATGAGTTTCGTAACGCTCACGCATAAACAATACTAAGAAAAGTAATAAAAAAAACTTCAATTAATATACCGCCGTGCCGGTATTGTTTACTTAGATACGCAGAGGCGCGCGCTACGACAAATAAGTAGATAGATAAGAGCGAAGAAGAGATCAATTTGCCATACTCCGCGAGGAAAAGAAAATCAGCGGCCCAGTGAGAGTTTAAACGTGACAACAGAGTACCGTACAAAAAACGAGGAGTAAAAAGGCGAAGCGAGAAAAGCAACGGCGAAAAACAATAAGATAAAGGCGGCAGCAGCAGCAGCAGCAGCAGCAGCGCACAGTCGAGAAAGAGCTCAGCTCGAGCAAAATAAAGAGCGCGCGTATATTATACGGGGAAAACCCACGACGGCGGGCTATGCACAAATACACGTCCAGGCGTGCGCGCGTACAAGTGGGTGCCTGGCTAAGCGAGAAAGAGAGAGAGAGAGAGAGAGAGAGATAGTCAGTGTCGGCGCCGACAGCAAGTAAGCAAGTTTCAAACTCAGTGGGAGTGCGCGAGCGCAGTGGCTCGACCAATAGCACCGCGAGACTGACGACACCGCGGGCCAATCGCAGCTGATCTGCGTGACGCCACTTTTATTTTTAGCAGTGCCGTGAGTCACGAGATATAAGCTCAGTACGGTTTAGTCCGGCAAGCCAGAATCAGCGGAGCCTCCGCGCGCTGCGCACCGTGTCAGTATCGAAAAACACACACGCAACTTGTATACGCTCGCACACGATCATTCAGTTAGTGCAGCGATAGTTTGACCGCGTGTGCGAGTGTTGTCAGCGACTTTAGTGTATATACATATACATATATATACATATACATACACTTGTACATAAGAAACAGAGTGAGGAAAGCAAAGAGAGAGAGAGAGAGAGAGAGAAGTTATTACGTAAGGTGTGCGCGCGAGTTTGTTAGCCGTCAGTCCTCTCGATGGTGCGCAATACGACGATGGAGCCGACGTTCTACGAGGATCAGGTGGGCCACTTTACCTATGGCAATCGCATAATCGCCGGTGGCGGCGGTGGGGCTCCCGTCAACAATCTCGTTGGCATAAAGCGCAGCAATTTGACACTCGACTTGAATGCCGGTCGACAGGGTCCTCAAGCGAAGAGGCCCAAACTGGGCTCGTTACCAGCTACGGCCCTGGCCATGTCTGGTCTCACGCCGCTGCTCAACTCGCCGGATCTGCTCAAGCTCAACTCGCCCGAGTTCGATAAGCTGTTTATCGCTCAGCAAGAGAACGGCATGATTACCACTATGCCCACACCCACCACGCAGATGTACTTCGACAAAGCCATCACCGAGGAGCAAAAGCAATACGTACAAGGCTTCGAGGATGCCCTTGATGCGCTTCATCACTCGGACAGCTCGCAGGAACCAGGCAGTATCCACTACACGACCCTCGAGCCGCCGGGCAGCGTGCAGAGCAACGAATCCTTAATGAGCGGCCAAGGAAGTCTGATGCAAGTAAAGGACGAACCCCAAACTGTACCGAGTGTATCGAGTTCGCCACCCATGTCCCCCATCGACATGGAAAGCCAAGAAAAAATCAAACTCGAACGCAAGCGCCAGCGGAATCGCGTGGCGGCCTCCAAGTGCCGCAGGCGCAAGCTCGAGAGAATCAGCAGGCTCGAGGACAAGGTCAAGCTGCTCAAGGGTGAGAACAATGATCTGAGCGTGATCGTCAACAGGCTGAAGGAGCACGTGAGCCGGCTAAAGGAGCAGGTGATCGACCACATGCAGTCCGGCTGTCAAATCAACACTGTTCCCGGTATCTTCTGAGAGGAAATCATCCTCGTGCTGGATCTCGAGGCTAGTTGATCGACTTCGTAACGCAGGACACCTTCTCTGATTGTGCTTGTGGTGTGATGAAAAACTTGTTTTGTGGGTGTTGATGATTATTACTTTTTTCAATGTCTCTTTTATATTATTTATTATGGACTGACGCTAACAAATAAGCCACCCCCGCCATTTTGGAGAACGACGCATGCTGCTCGCTCGCTCCTCGTCGTTCGCGCGCGGCAAATTCGAGACTTTCTCTCGCGCGTGATGCTGGCTGCTGGAACTCTTCACCTTGTAAATTACGTATCTATTTATGTCTATATATAGATATATACTGTGTACATTAACGGTCGTGCGCGAGACGATCTTTTATTTTGTATTAAGAAAACTTCTCTAAGGCCATTGTATCTCGATCGCGGTATAATGCTCTGATTTATTAATAACAAGTGTTATTATCTCGTCTTTCTTTAGCAAAGCAAGCTGAGTGAGAGATATATATTTGAGAATCGAATCTGATCTTTCGTATACGCATAGTATTTTAACGTGTCAACACTGATACCTGGATAGTCAATGTTTTTATTCTTTTTTTATTTCATAACTACTTCAATGTGTCGTGCAATTAACAATTGTGAAACTTGAGTCATTTAACTTGGTGCCCATATAATGAGATGTACATAATAATATCCAGTTGTTGGCATATCTGCTCTGACATATAATTAAAATTAGCTTAACAATATTTTGGGATGCAATGTTGAGTGACTTTTTTTGGAGAATGCCAAATATATTATAAAGCACATTATGAACCAACAGTGTATATTTATTGGTGGAATATTCATATTTATTGCAACAAATAGCGACACCTTGATATTAGAAACAGAGACGAGAAAAAGTCGCTCAAGCTTTGTAATCTCTCAATGAAAAAAGCTCGGACTCTGAACATTGCCTAAATAAACCATTACGTTTATTAATTGTAAGGAGATAACTTTTTTGTATGTTAAACTAATACGTCTGTGACAGGACGCGCCATTGCGACTCTTCTTATTTTTTTACGTACAGGTGACGAGGTAATGAGCTATTGCCTTGATCTGTCTTTCATTGTTTCTTTGTGTAATAATAAAATCGAGGCAATCGTGTGCTTTGTAAATTGTATAAATTGTTAAGAAATTAGTCTGATCCTTCCAGCGGTTCTTGTCATTGTAACAAATCAGTCACGCTGAAATGTTTTCTCATTGTATAGAAGAGGCTTGTAAGGGTTGCACGTGTAAACTTAATATTCCGCTTTCTGTGTAAATGCTTTTCTCAATCTTAGTCAGCAGAACGATAAATCAATTATGCTTGTTTTATCAATTTCGCCAGCAGCAACCCAAGAACAAAGTCCAACGAGAAGAATAATTATATAGATAGTTGTAATGAGAATTTCTTTTTCGGTTTTTATAAAAAAAATACTGAAATTCGTTTTATTCAAGAAAGTCTATAAGATATGTACGCGTGCTTCGTTAGACTTTCTGGGCAAACAATTCACTGCACAGTGTGCCTTTTTCAGAAATTTCGTAACGAGCAATCTGTGGCACAATTCGCCCCGATTCGCATAATCGTTCCTCCATTTTTACATAAAAAATGCTTTCCCTTTGCGTTCGCGATTATTAAGCAACTCGGAAAATATCGGATGTTGTGCAAATTGATGTGCTTCTATAAACTGATTATTATTCGTTTTATTATTGTGAGAAAAGTAAAAGTAATATGCTATTGTAAAAAGCCGAGAAGAAATATTGTATCATATACGCTCTAACCATATTTTTGTATTTGCGCGTCAAAACGACGAAAACCAATATGCATTGTTGCGGCTAACTACCGGAAAATTATGTAAAAACTTTCGACGACTAAAGAGGTGCGCACGCGGAGAGAAGCAAACACGTGTTCCTCCCGTGACGTACCGTGTACATTTTTTTTATATATTGAGGAGTGGCTGCACAAAACGTATGAAAGTAAATGAAAACGACATGTGATTTAGTTTTTAAGAGATGAAACCCCATTAGAGTATATATTATATACATATTATATATTTTTAGCGGTACTGCGAATTCACAAGACAGCACACAATAAACCGTCACTTTTGTATACTTGCTTTTACGTTAATACATGATAAAAGAAAAAGAATTCAATTCAGAAAAAAAGTTTTACTGTAAATTGAAAATCAAAAAACTCTAATCTTTTGTTTAACAGAAGCCAAAAATATATTATTGTGTATTAACTTGACAGCATGAAACGTGAAAACACAAAGTATATATATATATATATATATGTTATATATATTGTATACTGACAAAGGGCGAAAAATCTTTTTTTACAAATAATTTTATTTTTGAATGAAATATGAAAATAAATTTTACTATATTACCCTTACATTTTGTCTTCTTCATTATAATAATGCTTACTCCTCAGAACAAATTTGAAAGATATTTTCAGAGAATTGAATTTTCTTATTTACAAACAACTAACTTAAAAATATAAATTTACATTCTTGGCACCGTTTAAACACCTTGTAACGCTCTTCTACGAAACTCGGATAAATATTTCAAAATATATAATTGATAATATTTTAATTGTTACATTAACGATCGGAATTTCTTGCATCAGACACGTTCAATGACAAATAAAGTACAGTTATGACATATGAAACCGAGCGAACTAATTTTCAAACAAAGCGGAATGAAAAATTCAAGTGCAACGTACTGGTAAATAAGCTCCCACACGAAACTTTGGTGAAAATGAATGCCAGCGCGCAACTGGAGACGAGAATGAAGCCGACGGGTGTAAATAATGAAGAGACGGCAGGCATGAGCAGCGACGCGACGGTCGCAGCAGCAACATTCTCGCTCCCATCCCTTTCTCTCTAATTAGTGCAATTGGCTAATTGGCTCAATTGGAGAAAAGTTCCTGGTAGGAATTGAGATCGGGATTTGTAGATAGTCGTTTGGCCGAATGTGACTGGCTTTAAAATTTGTTTCATTGCCGTTTGGGAAAGAGACTCGACGGATAGACGCTTGTGCAAAATGCAAGAACTGATTAGTTAACATTTCAGTTTTTGAACTAGTTTACTATATATATTTTTGAGTCTGCTCCTACTTTCTTATTCTATTCTTTTGTGAATTATACACCATTTTAAATAATAGTAGACATGGAAATGCTCTTTTTGTTTGTCACTAGGCGACACATTTATCTTGAGTCAGATTTCAAGTTGTTTTCTTCTTCATAGAACATGTTTCACTAATTCTGAGTGTTTACCAAAATATTTATATTTATCACTTTTAAGTAATAAGCAACAGATATGTTATAGATTTTTTTCTTACAGCGGAACGTAAAAATTAATGATACCCCCCATCTGGATCAGAACAAACTGCTAGTTAAATTGATCTCTTGAAACGTGCTTAATGGTAATCTCAGTGAACTAAGCTTTTTTTAAGATCTTCACGTCTGCTAGAACCCGAGGCATAGCTAATGCTCATACCGATGATCAATCGTTACCTCCCCCCATACACAGAATTGCAGCTAATTTTTTTCCGTTATCCACACCTCGATATTGTACAGGTATATAGGTGCTACGATATCGCTTACCGTTATCAATGGCTTATCGCTCGCGCAGCGCTCACGCAGAAAAAAACACGAGGTTTTAATACTCTCCATCGTGTGCGCAAGAGCCAGCCGACGGCCAACTTGGCTTGACAAACAACCGAACGAAACGACTCTTTATTTCAAGCTACGGCCGATTTCACTTCACCCATTCTTTCTTTTTTCCTTTTTCTTTCGCGAATTTTCGACTGCGTCAAAACTGGGCGCGAAAGTTTATCAATTCCCGATGTTTGCGACAATGCAACTGCAATTGCACGACCTAGAAAGCGAAAAGACGGTTTTTATTGCATTACCATAATACGAGTCTAACTTTGCTGGAATTTTTCTTTATTGTTGCGTCGTATACCTGCCTTTGATTATCATCGTGTCTTTCATCTGTCAAGTTGTTCTGTCCGTTAAAGGTATCGTATCGTCATTATGCACTTTATTAATAAATGGCAATTATCAAGTTGCTCGAAATAGTATACAAATTGACGGCGCGATATCAACGACGATATCGTGAGCCTCACATTAGGCGAATCGGATATTGAATTCAAATAGGTTTTCACATTTAATTAGACAGTGGACGTATTACAAGTCCAGTTCGAAATGACATCAGCCAGGCGCTGCGGCAATGTTATTTATACGTCTCTAAACTACGTTCAACCAACAATCACTATCACACGAGAATTTTCAGGTTACGTGAACTGACAAGAGAGAGATCATAAATCTTAGGTGGCAATTATAAGGTTCGCACGTCCGCAAACTGCTCTCGCCGGTACATAATTCGAGGCTCGACACGAATTTCCTAATCCGCGCGTCGTCAAAGGGGGATGATGCGCTTTGCGGCCGAGAGAGGGTCGATTTTATTATGCGAGAGCTGGAGAGCGAGCGAGAGAGAGAGAGAGAGAGAGAGAGAGAGAGAGAGAGAGCTACATCCTTGAAAGCTCGTAAAGCGTCGGTTATCGCTGTGCGAGAGAGCGAGAGGGAGGCGCTCTAAATTCCAGACAATCTTCGTCGGCGGCGGCGGACGCCTCCTCGTCTACATAGCTACGTGGAGCGTACTTAGGCCGAGTTATCGCGCACGTAAGCCGGAAACGCGCGCACGCGCCAATGTACACGTTCGCGGGTCTCGACGCGAGGGAAAACACAAGAAAAACAGAGACAACAACAACGGCAGCCCGGCGCGCCCGACATTCGCGCTTCTTCGATCTTCGTTGCGTTGAAACTCCAGCGGTTCGCGTAATCGTTTGCTTACCGTGACCCGTCGTGAAAGTTGTAACGCGAAAATGAAAATTGGATTCTTACGGCCGGCGCGAATTTTAACGGGATATTATTTTTGGCTCAAGGACAGAAATCTCATAAAAAAAAAAAATAAAAAACGCACGCGCACACATGTGCGTCTGTGTATCCATATTATATTTTAACGTCATGTGCGTTCAGATAATGATTTAAGTTGCAAAATCAGTGCATAGGAAAAAGCCAATGCATTCTTATAACGTTTTCTGGATAATGCCAGACGAAAGAACATTGTCGAATAATTTCACTGGACTCCAAACGGCTAATGCGCAGATTTATCATTCCAACTTTGCCGTCAGAATGTTTTCTGTTTCCTGCGATAAATTCATGCGCGCAACGCAGTTTGTCGAACAAAAACGAATTTATCAACTTTTATGCAATATTTTGAATCGAATCCTCATCGAATAAAAAAAAAGGCTGGTATCAAGAAAAAAAGCGTCGATTTTCTCACCAATAAAAGTCAGCGGTGCTTCTGCGTCAGACGCGTGTGCCATATTATAAATATATATATATATATAGCCTATGCGCGGGACGAGTTCTCTTGTTGCAACACGAAACATTTTTATCCTACCGCGCGAGCAGCGATGTATTTCCTGGTGGTGTTACCCTCGATGGTGGGATTTACGAGCGCGTCGTTGCGCGTTTTACGGTCGCCCGGAATTCGCCTGAAAAATATCACTGCGCGAAAAGCGCGAGGCGGCGCCGGCGCGCGCGTTTCCGAGGCGTCGCCCCGGTCGTCACGCTCCGACGATCTTTATTGTCGTTAATTGTCGCGGCCACTTTATTATCGTGCACCTAGCCTCTCGCGTGAGAATAAATACTTTGGCGAAAATACACTTGAAGACTGGCGACTCGCTTTTACGCGAATAGCTTGGCTCTCTTTTGTTCGTCCCTCGGTGTGTCCCAGACAATCATCGTCTGTCCTTTCGTTTTTATGAAATATACTTGCCATTTTTTTACCCTCGGCATTTTATATACCGTGCTACTGTTTTTAATTTACTTGACTTTCCAAATCGACTTGCCCAATATGGGATTACACAGCTGAAGTATCCATCGATTTAACAATAAAAACATGTCATTTTCTGGTAACTTGTTGAAATAATGAGTGTGCGCACAAGTATTGCCAGATATCGATGCGTTGAACATTTTTTTTTAATTATAACGTAGATTTTTTTTTTTTATTTTTAGCCGGTGATTAAAATTAAATTAGTTTACCTTTAATGCGATTTACACTGAAAAATCAAGGTACAATTGTATAAGCCAAACGTTCTTTGACACACGATTAACTTGGTAAATGAGTAACGATTAAAATTTATTTCACGACGTCGCTAACATATTTTTAAGGCTTCGTCTCGCAATGAGCGCGCGCTCTGTTCCGGCGTACGTGGTTCGGCTCCATTACGTCAAAACGAAAGCAAACATAGTTGACGACACGTTGAAAAGGGGGAGGATCGCGCCCATGCCCCACCTAAAACTCAACCGCGAGGGTCGAAACTGTAAGAGCAGCGTGTCGTCGTCGTCGTCGTCGTCGTCGTCGCTTCGCCGTCCCGATGCGAAAACTCGGCGCGCATTATCAAATAATTGATAGCGCGCGCAAACGTCAGAAGGCCTCGCGGGATAACCAAAACACTCATTGTCAGTGCGCTTATCTGCCGAGACGACGACAGTCCGTGGCACGTACGCTGTATCATTCACACGTGGCGAATGAGCGGAAAGACTACGAGCGTCGAAGCTGCAGAACTGTCGCGGGCAGAGTTAGCGCGTTACTTCTCTCGCGCCCGACCATTGTCATTTTCTCTGTGATTCATCGCGATGCGCGCGTTCGATTGTGTAGCTGTCGCGCGCGCAGTGTCGCTCGTTTTGCCATGCATTACGGCCACATTTTTTTTTTGCCTTTTGCGGGAGCTGGAGCTATCGAGACGGTTTGGCGGCGTTCCCCTCGTTGGCAAATAAAAGTTACGAAAAGCGTTCTAATTAAATTCCTCAATAAAACCCACATCGCGTCCCGACTCACAGCATGATGAATCGGAGTTTCTGCTTTTCGTCAGTCTCCGAGGCTTACAGCTGGAACTTGGCGCTGTTGACACTCGTAATTTTTATGGGGTTTTCATCTCGGATGATGAGAATCGGTTCGGAAACTGCATGAATGTCCTCCGACATTCAGTTACAAGAGAATGGAAACTGTTAAAATAGAACTTCGCGGTGATTGTTAAATATAGAGAGCGTTATATTTAGTTCACCGAAATATATTGAATGAAAAGAAAAATAAAACACGTTACAGCTTAGATTCTTTACTTCTCGATGGAGCTCAGTCTCGTTTTTATCCAGTCACTTTTTCGTCGTCGGTTTCCTCAAAAAAGGCCACACCTTGCGAATGCGAGCAACCCAAAGGCACGAGACACCCGAAGACACCCGCCGTCGACCAAAGACCAAGGAGACGCGCACGAGCGCGAAAGATAATGATCCACTAGGCAACTAGACTGTAGATCGTGATT